TGTTCTTAACCACACCGCCCCCATAGCTTACAATTTAATTAAAACGAAATTTCGATCATTTTTGTCGTGTATTTTAGCTGTTTGTGTTTATGTTAAACTCTGGGAATTATCCTTTGGTATGCTTTGTGGCGTAGGGCCCATGCCACGGCTCTCCCATAGCCTACCTAGGGGGCGTGGGTGAAGCCCTGCTGTCAATTTATTATGCTCTTGAGTAATGCTGTGCCTAAGAAAGACAAACTACATTCCTTTATGGAGTGGATATGCTGGAGGTTGGATTAAACCCTGCTTTTGCGTGTTTATTAGCGAGGATTGAGAATAAATATGAAAATGATTGGTCACCTTTGTTCGATTGTTTTTTTTTCCTCTCTTTTGTAAAAACACCCTTTAAAGTAAAAAAGAGACTTGTACAATACTCAATAACAGGGCAGTTTCAAATGATAAGCTAAGGTGATTCATACCTCTTAGCTGCATCATAATAACAAAAACTTTAGTTCTAAAGATGTCAAAATGTTCACAGGTTAAAAGGCCGAAGTTTTCCTAAGGCAAGACAAATAGCACCAGTTTTAATGATAAGCAACTTAAATAAATGATACTATTCAATTCTTAATTTTTTTAATTTTTATACAGCTTTGGGGAGTATGCCTCAAACTAAAAACAAACGGTGAACAATTGTGAATTTATCACGAAAACCTTTTCGTATTTCAGAAATCGTATCCACTACACATCAGTTACTTCCAGAAATCGTTGCATTTTGTTTACGTTACATTTAATAACTTAAACGTTTACTGTAAGATTCTTCAATTTCCTTTTTATGAGATTTCTTACCACATGTTTAATATCAAAATAGCTCTTGGGTAGTTTTAATTGAATGTGGTCAATTCTGATTAATGGAAAGAAATTTTAGATTAAGTTGTGGTCTGTTTTATCGAGATGAAATTATTGTACCTTAAAAGTGAGCAAATAATGCGAATTTGATAGGAAAATAAAAAACATTCAATAATTATCAAGAACTTTGACATCTTAAAAGCTGGGAATTAATAACGAAAAAATACTGTGAATTTGAGAGGAAAATCACGCAGGAAAACCGTTCATTTGAAGTATTTTTTCATCATCTCGCTGATGAAGACGAGTAGTTCGCAGTCGAAATGTCGTCCTACTTCAGCTCATTACATACATCTCGAGACAAGTGATTGGAAATCTTTTTAATGCTTTCTTTCCGTAATATATAACATATTACTATTTCTGAACGTTTGTAAGATTTTGAACAGCAATATACAATCAATGAATGTAACGTCATATGGTGGATGACTCAGGAAGGGTTGGCCACTTAATTATACCATGGCATTGTTCAGGAGTAATCGAGTGCATCTCTCGAGTCACACTAGTGATTAATGACGATGTAATAACAGAAATAGACAATAGTTTATTTAAAGATAGGGCTATTGATAAGGCAATCGATCGTTTTAAGGTGTAAGGTTGGCGAGGTTGTTGCTTGATGGCAAAAAAGTATGTTCAAATGCAAAGGAAAATGTGGAAAGTGAAAAAAAAAATGAATTGAAAAGATAATGAATAGAAATAGAATTAAAGCTGTTAAGTGAAAATAATGAAAGCACTCGACAGACTCGAGATCTCTTGATGTGAAATCGAGCGAAAAGTCAAAAATAAGTATTACAAGATTGCAAAGACCATATTGTCACAAAGCAAAGAGACTTCCCATCGAGGTACCTAAGAAAACATACAGGAAAAAGATTTTTATTGTAGAAAATAAATACCGAAAGAGCGAGAAAAGAATAACGACGGAGTAAAAATAGATAGATTAAGTCCTACATTTCCGCTCGTGGAAAAAAAGCATGAATCGATCTACTCTTCTCGCGCAAAATAGCACGCAATGCAGAAGGAAATCGATGACTAATCTCGCTTAATTCGGCCGGATGCAGATACTTTTCGCATCCTGTGTTTGCAAGGGTCTCTACATGCATTGGTGCCCTTTGGCATTCGTTTGCAGGGATAAATCATTATAATTACTGTATAAAATTGTGAATAAGAACCTGCACGGACAGGAAAGTCGCTAGCTGAAGTGTTACCTTTCATTGATATTCTAAGAATTTCCCTAAACTTAAAAATAAATCTCTTATGCTTAATATTTCACACGTATTTTTAGTATATAACACATTACACAGCGAAAAAATCTTTGTTTTCGATTCATTAGTCCGAAGTGATATTTTTAGTTAAGCATTAAATACAAATTCCATCATCAAACGAAAAACCTAAATGAAACTGAAAAACTCGCGTAAAATAAATGTGTCGAAAATTCCCTTATATTTATAACATTTAAGATTGTCTCCCATTTTATCAGCAATCTGCATCTGACATACGGAAAATAGCAAAACAAAAGCATTTCCTTACTAAAATACGTTCTGTCTGTGTACTGACGTGATGCTAGAAGCGTTTCCGTTGACCTTACCGCAAAGGCCAGCTCACATCAATATTACACTTCATTCCACGCCACGAAGGTCGCTACGTTAGACTGTTTTCGTGAGATATCGTTTTCGACACAAAAATATCATCACGCAAGCATTATGAAGTAATGTGCGAAGAATGCGATGTTCGTGCAGAACGTTGCTTTGTATTCTGCGTAATATGACATGGAAACTCTACGTTAACGTAAAACCCAATGCTCGGGACCTACCTAGGATTTCATTTTTGCGGGAGTTTTTATTGTATTCTATGACAATACGGAGAATGTTGCGCAAAAATGTTACGGAAACGCTAAGCTTAAAGTTCATGTCTTCATAAGGACTAAATAGCCGAGCAAACGTTACGGAAACGCAACGCCGATTACACGCTACATTTTTACTTTTTTACGGCGTCTTATAAGGCGTATTGTTCACTTGAAAACGCAGGGTAACACGCAACTTGTAAAAGACAAGCGGTGGACTAGACTCTTAAAAGCAACGCGTCTATTTCATACTTTTATTTTTAGAACGAAACTCAATCTCGCAAACTTCGTTTAAATCTTAGTTTATTCACGCAGCAGAGACGCTCTTAGAGTGCTAACTCGTGCGTAAGGCCATTGTCACATGTATCAGTAAATTGACTTTATGTGGTATGAAATGTCCAGGCCGTATAATATCTTTCGATTGTCTATTGACTGACAACTTGAAGTTAAATTTTGATTTGCTATCAGAAGTAAAACTTCTGACATGGCATGGAAAGTAGATATATGTGCAGGAATAACTTGGACATAGTGGTAACTCTCTAAAGTGGATGCAGATTTGTGTTTCGTTCTAAACTACCATCAAACAAAAACCATGATTCCTTTGATTTTGGACACTTTTTTGGTATAAGCATTCACGAAACTATGGGGTATTGCAAATCCAGCATTCTGATTGGCTATTAGACTTATGAGGTCTTGCAAATCCAGCATTCTGATTGGCTATCAGACTTAGTGTATTAATGTTATACAATGGTCTACAAGTTCATAGTCCATTCAGCTGAGTATGGCCTCATTCCACACCATGTTCATAGCAAGTAGTGCTACATGACACAGCTGCTAGGACATGTATTCGATAAGACTTTAAGATGTTTTACATCTTAAAATTATAGCTTTAAAATCATGCTGCATGAAGCAAAGCTTTTTATGATAATTGATATCTTTACTAAGAAAAAAAATTCAATGTTTCTTACCCTTTTTATGATGTCATTACAGCACCAAAGCTTCGCCCAAACTTCAAGCACACGAACCTCACTATTGTCAAAGGGCATGACTCGGTAAAATTGCAATGCCAGATAGATACAGTATCTAGAGGAACACAATATTTGTGGTTTAAAAATGGAAAGCCTATCTACCTCGAGAATAACACCCATATGAGAGTGAAGAAGATGCGATATTTGAAGATTAAAAGGGCTGGACTTAAAGATAACGGAAAATACACCTGCGTGTCGAGAAATGCTTGTGGAACTTTGAACTTAACGATACAACTAATAGTCGAATGTAAGTAATTTCTATTGTTTTCTTTGAAAAAATTCAACTAAATGAATTCTAACATATTGATTATCAATGCTATAATGTATATTATATTACCTTCTCTATGAAATAAGCTTAAAAATGTCAACAAAAAACAGAATTCCACCATCCACTTTTGCAATCTCTCCATTACTTCTCAGAACTAAACCGCTGAACTTAAAGTTCGGAGAACTACCACAGGAAACCCATGTTTATAATTTTTCATATATGATTATTTTCTTTGCAGTTCCGTCTAAATTTCCTCCGATAAATGGAACAAAACGTGGTGGTAAGTTTATTCTTTAATTTGAATAAGTGATTCTATGCTAAGACTTTCTAGCGAGAGTTATGTAAAGCAACGGCTAACAAGAGTAACAAAAACGTATAGTTATTCTGATTTTTTCCCACATTTTCAGTACCACCAAAGATTGTCGTAAACTCGCAAAGGCGGGAAAGGACATTGATTGCAGTTCCTGTCGGCAATTCAATCAAAATGGACTGTTCCGCTGATGGTTACCCTCGCCCAACAGTCAAATGGTATAAGAATGGCAGGCTCTACACCCACTCAGTTGACGGCCCTGTCTATCTTAGTCCATATCAATATGTATTGAGTTTAAGAAATGTAGTTCCTGGAAACAGTGGGGTATACACTTGTAATGTTTCAAATCATTATGGTTGGTTCAATCACACTTACAAAGTTGATGTCAGAGGTGAGAGTTCATGTACATTCAGGGTATCTTTGGAGTTTGGCCCCCTCTTCTTTGTATGTCGATTAGTTTAAACATTCTTTTGTTATTTTCATTCATCAGTACATTTGTTCTTTCATTTATTTGTTTGTTCATTCATGTATTCACTTTAAAGTCATCCGTTTTGTTCACTACGCGAGAAATCTTTACTTTTTTAGAGTGCTACTTACATCGCTGCAACCTCTATTTCACAGATGAACAAGTCATCTATCCTTATAGCTTAAATAACCTTTATTGTTACTTTATAGAACGCGTTCGTGCCAAACCTGTCCTACAGAAGATGGAAAACGTCACAGCCGTCGTGGGTACGAATGCAACCCTCATATGCAAAGCCATGAGCGATTCGATGCCACACTTCCAATGGATTCGTTGGTTTCTACCAATCTTCAACACAACAACAAACATCACAACGCAACCGTACGAGGTTGTGAAACAAACGCCTTCAGATGATTCGCGTCATATTATTGTATCGAAGAGAAACGGGAAATTCACGTTTCATGGCGTCAAGTTGACACTAGTCAACGTTACAAAAAGTGAACAAGGGAAATACACTTGTCTCGTAGGGAATGCGGTTGGTTATAACATCGAACACGTTTACCTAAAGGTGGTCACCCCAGAAGGTAAGGATTAGAATCGTGTGTGCGATGTTCAGTCAGTATAATAAAGAGACTGTTACTGATTCAAACCCGGTGCAGGCATCTAGATGTGATCTGAGTTTGTATATTGCCTTTCTCTATTCCTTTGGGATTTCCTTCACCGTCAAAAACCAGCTGTGTGTTATGAGCTGAAATATTCAATGTAGAGCTAGAGAGTGCAACCCTTTCACTTAAAGAGTCTTCTTTTATTTCTTTCTTTCTTTAGTAATGTAATAATGATAGTGATGATGTCTGTGTACTGATGACGCAATAATGATGGTGATGACGTAGCATTTAAATGATTATGTATAGTGACGATATATATGACGTAGTGGCTGCAGTGGTGTCGAAATAAAATACTAATGTCTTGACAATAATACTCAATGATTGGGTTCGTTTTTCAATGAATTGATTGATTGTTAATTGATGATTAATCTTTATCATTTTTTTACTTATACAGAGATCAAGGTGTTAAAAGCAAACACCCAACCCCCAACTAAGACGACCGAGATTCCAGTAACTGCCAGTGCAAGAGGACCCACGACTGCTAGTGATTCCCCTGACGTAAAAAATCAGAGCAAAGTCAACGAAAACCAAATATCAGCATCAATGTTGATCGCCGTCTCAGTCGTCGCATTCTTCATACTTTGCATCTTTTTAATCTGTTGCTACGTGTTTGCCATGAAACGAAAGACCAAACAAGACAAATTTACCATCCACTACAACCCAAACATTGACCAAACACCAACAAACAGAAATATGTCCTTTTCAGCCAGCGCGTCGTCGTACGGGTCAGCGGTGCCATTACTGCGGAAAAGAAGCACGAGATTAGACTCCAATCTCTCTCAAGTGTCGGAGTACGAGCTGGCGCTTGACGAAGAGTGGGAACTAGATCGAAGTTTAATAACTTTAGTGGATACTTTGGGAGAAGGAGCGTTTGGTCGAGTTATGAAAGCTGATGCAATTGGACTTAAGAACATGCCTTACTCTAGTTACGTAGCTGTGAAAATGTTGAAAGGTACCTTAAAAACGTACTGTATGATTTCCTAAAGCTCTAGTTTTATTAAACTTATTTGTACTTTTACAGAGGATGCAACGGAACACGAACTAGCTGATCTGATATCTGAGATGGAAGTTATGAAGACTATTGGACAACACAAGAATATTATCAACCTTATCGGTGCTTGCACGCAAGACGGTAAGATTGGTTTCCCTGTGTTGTTTGCTTATTCGTAAGTCTATTGGCTAAAAAAACAATTGGTATTGTTTTCAGGCCCACTGTTTGTGGTCGTGGAGTATGCCAAATTTGGAAACTTACGTCAGTTCCTTAGAGATAGACGGCCGGTTCCAGATTACATGGAAGTTAGTAGCGAACCAAGAGAAAAGTTACATTTATCTGATCTGGTATCTTTTGCTTATCAAGTCTCTCGTGGAATGGAGTATTTGGAGTCCAAAAAGGTGTGAATTTATATGTGAATTAACTTAAGTTAACCGGCTATATACCAGAAAAAAAAAACACACTCGTTCTCTAGACATAAAGCAGGCTCGTTTCCTAATTTCCCAAATAAGCTTGCATATTATAATAATTTCCCAAATAAGCTTGCATATTATAATAATTTCCCAAATAAGCTTGCATATTATAATAATTTCCCAAATAAGCTTGCATATTATAATAATTTCCCAAATAAGCTTGCATATTATAATAATTTCCCAAATAAGCTCAGCTTGCATATTATGCACAACAGTTTATTTATAAAAATGTATTAACAAGTTCTTGTATGAAATGTTGATGATTTGCAGTGTATTCATCGTGATCTTGCCGCAAGAAACGTTCTCGTTGCCGAAGACCACGTCATCAAGATCGCAGACTTTGGTTTGGCTCGAGACGTCCACAATATTGATTATTACAGAAAAACAACAGATGTAAGGAAACCATTATTATAAATGATGATGATGATGATAATAATGATGATGACGGCAATTATACTGGATTTTACTATGATTTCTTGTAGGGTCGTCTTCCTGTCAAGTGGATGGCCCTTGAAGCTTTGTTCGATCGTGTGTACACAGCGCAAAGTGACGTGTAAGTTTGTTGTGATTTTCACTAGTATTTGGGAATCAGTTTAGTTTTAAAAAAGATCTTCTGGTCAAAGTAACTTTCTGATCGTTCTTAAAAATGTACCCCCCAAGCACGCCAGATGATAACCCTCCGGAAAAATATGGAAGAATCAGCGGAAAAAAAAACACACACAAGTTTGTCGAAACAAGTGAAACCTGTTTGTTTATAAATTCTCCAAGATGACGATTTTCGTACATGAGAAAAGCGCGCAAAGGCTTTCGGATCCAACTAGGCCTTTAAATCAAAATCACTTTGAAATCGAGCCACAGCTTAGAACTGCTGGTAATGGTCATTATTTTCACGATGAGTCGCGCTATCCAATACAAGCAATTAATAATAAAAGTTATAATTACTATTTTTTAGATGGGCGTTTGGCGTGTTACTATGGGAAATTGTGACATTTGGTGAGTAAATTGTCTTTGTATTTTATATTCCTAAAATATCAAAACTTACTCCGTAAAGCACTATAAGTCCTATTACATAAGTTACGTCACTGCGGCCATCTTGGAGGAACTTCAACCAAGGATTTCTCATTAGTATCTATTGTTCATTCCTCCAACATGGCCGCCGGTCTTTTATCTTGTGAATCTCATGAAAATGGTTGAAAACGATCAATTGTGCCCAATCCAACCATCACATGTGAGTTTCGGCGTTTGAAACAAGCCTTATAGAGTTTTAACAATGATAAGATTGATATTTTACCATTAAATTCACGCTATTTTGCATTTTAGGAGGCTCTCCGTACCCTGGTATTCCTTTGGAAAAACTCTTCGAACTCTTAAAGTCTGGCTATCGAATGGAAAAACCCGTCAACTGTGATGATAACATGTATGTTGATAATCAGATATAGTTATTATTCTGTACTGTGTTATTAAAGGGTTGCATTTTGTGATATAGGTACGCTATTATGTTGGAATGTTGGCGCGACGATCCATTCCAGCGACCTACTTTTACTCAACTTGTGAAAGAAATGGACGCCATGTTATCTAGTCTGTCTGATAAGGTACGATAGCACTGAACATGATGTTACACATACCTTTTTACTGCAGTAACATGCAGTAATTGAAATTGTTTTAAACCCCCCTACACCATAAAAGCAATAGCATTAATTATTAGATATTCATCCCGCAGATATTCTTTTGAGATTTCTTGTACAATCACCAAGTGAGAAAGGATATCAGCTATAGATGGTCCAAAATGAGTTCTGCGCGTCGCTGTATTCATGTACAATTTTATCACTGACTAGAAGTCTAATTCAGGTTGTCATATATCATTGTTTTTCAGATATATCTTAGCTTGCAAAATGCTTCAAGTAGCGATCCCATCGCTCCTCCCCAGACTCCCACGTCATCGCAATCAAGCCCCACCCCCAGAGAATCTTTAAGCTCAAGCGTATTCGAGAGCAATGAAAATATAAACATATGGACCCCAGCTCCGTGTGAACACCACAGAAACAATGCAGGCTATTTACATTCAGCAAGAAACGATTCAGTTAGTACGAAGGACAAGCCCGAAGGCCTTACGAAAAATCCCGACGGCTTCACGACGGATAAGGATCAGCGCGATTCCGGTGTCGGATTTGAAAATGCAAATACAAACTCCAACATGAACGAGGCAAAAAAGACGTTCTTCCGTGAGCCTCTCGTAAGCGAGATATAACGTCCGTGGTCCTGGCCAAGCGGTCAGCGTGATATCTATGCGACTAAGGACCTACACGTGTGGGATATGCGCAGGTCTTTCCTCAAGAGCATGCGCTATACAGTTTTTCATCAATTCAGCGGAGGTTTACTGGAAAAATGACTACTATTGTACCGCAAAAGAGGAGAATAATTTACTTGAAAATTCAGAGATGAAATCATGAACAAACTACTTCATCCAGTGGGGTATAGAATCAAGTAGAGCTTGCGCAGTAAGACTTAATGAACCAAGCTTTGCCTCACCTCACCCTCCTAAGTATCTTAACTGGTACTCATTTATCTCATCTATTTTATGGGAAAGGTTGATCAGTAACTGCATAAAAATATGATTACTATTGGAGTGGAAAAGATCTTTTTATGATATAGTGAGTGATACCTTTGAACACAACGGCCATCTTGAATTCAGGAGTGAAGCTCGCCCACTTGTGCGAGGTGGCCACTGAAAACGAAATAAAAATCATTAGACTTTTTATTTTTACCGAGTGACTGAATGTTTAATAATTAGTTAGTAAAATTTGTATAAAGGAAAGATTTGTATAAATAGTCGGAAAGAATATGGAATGATACAAATATACAAATATACTTCATTTTTAAGAAAGTAAAAACATAAAGTAAAGAAATTCAAGAGTGGATTAATATAGTGAAGTTTTATGCTTTCATAAGGCTGTTTAGATATTGTGCAGTCGCGTTTACTCTAACTAAAGCATAACTAAATTGTTCACAAATTATTTTTTTCAATGATCACAAAATTGCTGAAAACAATTAGTGGGGAATTTTCTTGGGAACTCTGGTCAGTGGTAATGCACTGCAACTTTCCTTTTTAAAAATATGAATATTTTTGGGAAATGAGAAAAGGAGTAAGGGAAAGGAAAGGGAAGTAGACAGAAAAATGAGAGAAATGAAGATTAAAATGGTCATGAATGCAAAGCCTGGTTTCCAAATAATCGCACGAATTGCTAGCAAATATGTCCAGTCCAACTAGTCGATGAACTTGAAGCCTTTCTAAAGTGTACAATTCTGATAGAACGTTCGCGATCGTTTGGATGGAAATAAAATCGATCGCGATTCTCCCACTTGTCTGAATCACCCGCAATCATGAAAATGCGCTTTCAACTGACTTAACGCGCTTAACACTGATAATTGAATAACTCTCGATTGAAATGATGATAGCAATTCGAGCGATTGTATGAAAACCACGCCATATTTCTTGGCCTCTATATACGTAGTGTATTATATATGTATATTGATATATCAAATAAAACTACATTAGTTGTATTATATTGATAACTAAGGACAGTTTTAAAGCTACTGAATCTATCTGTATGGTTCAACGATATTAAAATACTTCTTTGCACAAAAGGAAATAGGTTTTATTGACTGAGTTTGTGCGGTGATTGAGCATCTTACCCCTCCTTTAGGTTGTCCCTTCGCTCCACCCCTGTGAAAATCGCGGGAACCCCTTCCCAAGGATTGGATGAACTCAGAATCCACTATTGAATTTGATCGATAATCTACTAAAATTATCATTTCCATACTTCCAGAAATCTGATATTACAATAACTAGAAAACTCTTAGCCTTACGTAATATCGGTATTGTTATCTTCGTGATAATTACCAGAAAAGGGGGGAATAGTTGAACAGGTGCATTGCGGCAATGGCCGGGTGATTCGTATCATAACAATGGACAGATTTAAGCGTAATTACATAAGTGTGCGTACGTAATTGTTTGCGTGTTAACGACGTAAAGTATGTAATTGTTTGCGTGTCAACGACGTAAAGTTTACGTAAAGTATTTTAATAAAATTTAATAGCATTAATTTTAAGTCTTATTACGGTAATAAGCGCTTCGAGTGGTTTCCCTTAAGTCAAGAAGAGATTCTAGATTATTCCGGCTACGAAATCCCCCAGAGATGTAATTAATTGCTAACCATGAATCCCGTAAGTGCGCAATGTAGCACATTGTTGTACGGTACCGATGTGTGGGTTGTCATGAGATTAATTGGCTTAATTATACACTAGTACGTCAAAGCATACGTTATAACCAATAATAATCTTTGCTTTATAAGACCAACTACCAAATGCGAAAAACGAAATGAATAAAATACAAAAAGAAGTAGACAATAAGCTAAGTGTAGCAGTGCATCTGCAAAAGAAATAAAAAGATAATAGTAAATAAGACGTTTCCGTCAATATATATGGGAGAGTGATTACCAGAACGCATGCGCAAGCCTTTATAATTCATATTACATTTAATGAACAATGAAAAAGGATGGGAGTGGACTGTAAACAAGTGTAATAGAAAATGCTCGAAACGAGAAACCCACTGCGCTACACTCCTCTGTCCTGGTTTTCAATCACTCCATTGATCTGATTTAAGACCGGCGGCCATTACGTGATGTTGCTTAATAATTAGCAGTAGATTTAATGAGAAATCTTTAGTTTCCAGTACCATCGACATGCTGCCGTGACGTAAACTGAAATGGAGTAATTACTCGCGACAATCATGGGGTTTCTATTAGTACCTGGTCTTACAACGATCCTAGTCTCAAAGATCTTTAAAACAAAGATTCTTCATCAATAGTCAGTGTCTCTGAATATATCTCAGTTAAAACAAGCCGGTTTAGTGCCTTTCCATTCATTCAAGTCTTTGAGTTTAGACATGTCTCTCGTCTAAAAATGTGAATAGCATTTGAAGCGCGCCTGAAGGCTTTACTGAAGACCAATTCGCTGATTTGATCCTGAATTTCATGTATTATTATTTTACTTATGAATAATTAAGAATGAGAGTTCAATAAAACAGGCAAATTAGACGTAGATTTTAAATTAAGAAATACTGATTTGCTACCGAAGGCTACATGTGTGACTGATTGATAAGGCTTTTTTCTCAGTTAAACCAAAGATATTTGGTTGGGAAATTATTTATGGACTTAATATTATGAAAGATCTTGGAATTATCAATGTTTATGTTGAAAAGTGCATGGGAAAGAAATCTTAAACCGCAAATAATCCTTGAAAGCATCTATATAGAATGGTATATAATGTTTTTTTTTACAAGTTGATTTATAATATCAGCACCGGCGAGACAGGAAGGACCGTTTTCAGAATTGAATTAAAATAGCAATCATTTTACTACTGAAATCTGTCGATCGTGACTTGCCTTCGCATCAAACTGTGCTAGGGAAAATAAAGAAGAAAAGGTATCATTTTAAATGGTAAGTTGAACATGTTATTCCTATTATTTCATAAGTAATTGTTGATTGAGCTACAATTAAGTCATATTTGATATTTTTAAGACCAAAGGGCGATCAGTCAAATCGCCGATAATTTTCAGTCTGAAATCAGCGGAATCTCTGTAAAAAATGTCCTTTCCCACGAAAGTGCGGCTATATTGTCTCATAATAGGGACGGTCATGAAAAGACACGAAAAGCCCGTTTCTCGTGGCGATCGTCGCGCGATCCCTTTGCCTGAGTTTCGAACATGCTTGAAAATTATCTGCATCTTCGCGGCGATTATCGCGCTACAAAAATCGCAAGTGTAATCGGGCCTTAAGTGCCACTGTTATCAACGACGATTTTCTCAGGCAAAAAAGATTAATTAACGCGTAAAACGCACTTATAGTAAAACAAATCTTATTTAGAACGAACAACGAAGAATATATCAGACACCCCGCACAATCAAAACCTATAATATTCGACGGTTTTGAATGTTTGTCAAGTTGTGGCGCGAAACTCGTTCTGTAAGGATCTTTAGTGAATGTTTGTTAGGAGCGCAATTAGCTTATTGAAACATTACTTATTTAGCCCACAAAGAAGTAAAGCCACATTACTTATTGTAGAAACTGATTTCTACACTTTAGTCAGTTTCGTTAAGGGGAGCATCTATGTAAAAATACCTAAAAACTCACAATAGTAAAAGAACTTTCGATTTCGAGGGTACAATGCAAAACGTAAGTGGACTGGATTTCTAGCATGCGTCCATAAACCTGTATGTCATAGAACGCCTTGTACTATGGTCATGGCCAACTTGTCAATCGAAAGTGAAAGCCATCAAAACTACGAATAAAAATAGTTACATAGACATAAAAGAAATAAAATGGAATCATTGCCTTCTACAGGTGTCACGGGTTTATCATGAATTTCACGGATTTTGCGAATGAACTCTGTTTCACAGGTTTTCAGCACCAGCATCCGGCATTCTTTGTACCAACCCAACCATAATTCAATGATGCTTCTTATTTGACGAAACCGTACATTCGGAAACTGGAGAACAGACCGGAACGGCTTCCGGACACTGATTGTAAACCTGTCACTTTGTGATTCGATTCAGTACATTCCACTTGCTTTAATACACCATTGGGTCCATTGGGAATGCATTCCAACTATCAAGGAGGAGCATGATTACAAAAGAACAATCTGCCAATAAAGTATCTATCAGAAGTAACAAATTTTCAGTGATCTAATGATATAGACGGCAGTCACTGACAAGATAGATATCAGAATTCAGTGCGCAATTGTAAGCAACACCACTGGTAAGTTTGAAAAATCCCTACGAGGTATTTTCCGTGCCAAAAAAAATAGAGAACTTAAGTAAAGTGGACTTTAGTTGTTGGTTCGGGTCGACGGCAGTAAAAAGGATCGAAGTTCACATGTTCATTGAGCAAATTTACCTTTATGATATTTTTTCTGGATATTTGATTTGAATTCGTATAAGCGAAGGTTCCGCGATACGCGTATACATCGAGAGGAGCCGTCAGTTGTGTTTAGACTTAGCTAACAGTATTCACCAATTTTTTATCCTGAGATGTGTTAAATCTTAAGTAAAATTTTATAGATCACTGTAATATTGCATACAGATACAAGAATTGACCAAAGACAACGAATAATATATATTAACCCAAGTACAGTAAACTGCTATGATACACAAATGCATATCTTCTAGGACGCTTTCACAAAATTTACTAAAACACTTACTAAACAATTAAACAGCAAGTTTGTCCGCATCATAATTGACTGCATCAATTTTGCTTTTATTCACTTTCTTAGTTCAAGTGGGTAAAGTTTTTGACCCTGTTCCATGTTCCAAAGCACCTCCCTCCCTGTTTGCTTAGCACAAAGAGAACTCTATAGAGAGCGCACCTGAACTGCAAATAAACTCCTCTTTGCACAATCCAAATTGTAACAATGTTAGCAAAGCAATTGTACAAAATTTCAGTTGGATCTTTATTTAGATTAAGAGAAAGACCACCAAAACACACCACTTCAAAGCGCATGAAAAATCAAATAACATTCCTCGCACTGAAGGTCTTAATAGGGCGTTTGTGAAGTCAATCATACATTTTGAGAAGCTGTCAGTTCAGAGAGAAAGAGCGAAAACACGGAAAAACTTACTGAGCCAAATGGCTTCTGAACATCCGTTCCCAACCGTCCCTCGCTCAGTCGGGGAATCTTCCTTTTTCTTTTCGCACTGTGCATATTGATTTACTAAATTTCAGCACAATTGCTTTTCTAATCACAGAAATATTATTAAAATGTAATAATCGATTTATCGGTTTTTAGAAACTTTTTCTTGACATCGCGCTTTTCTTTGGAAGACGCCCATTTTTGCCTTCAAATAACTGAAAGTAGAGGTGCTTTTGCCGTGATCAAACTCTCTCGTTATGCAAACATTCTGTGCGTTATTGACATCGAGTGTGTGCTGTGCAAGGCGAAAATGATCAAGCTGTACTCTTTACAAGAGCTGTGTGCAGGAAGTTTTGTCGCGCAAATTTCAGTGTAAGGTATTAAGGGGGCTCGTTCACCATTTGATGTGCACCGCCTCTTTATTAAACCTATGAAACTTATATAATCCAATTTTTAATAAAATAAACAAGTATGCAGATTGTAGAAGTCACAGTGCTTATTAACTCTATCAGATAATCAAGCAATTTATAAGAAAATGAAACGACTGTTTAGTATATTTACATAATGAAGACGCCATGATCAGTTTAAGCCGATATTTAAGCATGTACGCGCTACAAACAGGAAGAGATAGGCTTATAAAAGCCCCTTGAAGTCTACTACGCGTTACAATAATAATTACACTCAAAAAACGAACGGAAACACTTGGTTATAAAAAGACATACATTCCCAATGCAGCCAAAAAAACATTCAAGCGAGAAGAAAGGAAATGGCCTCATAACAACGTCGTAGCAGATCAAAAGGCCAAACTAGTGTAAACTTTAATAAAAACTATTTGCGGTTAACTTCGAAATTTTTTTGAATAACAAACTGGTGAATTCAGCACAAGGTCAACCATTGTCAGGGTAGTATTCTAACAGCGAGAAGGGCGATATAGTCATTTTAGGTGGGTTTCCGCTGAGTGGCAAGGGAATTTTCACCGGAATCACCAGTGGTTGACCACGAGAATCAGTTAAAAAAATACAGCCCGTAAACAAAAGATTTGAAGCGTAAGCTTTTTCTTAGGTATAAATAACATCATACTATTATTAAACTTTGTCGCAGTGTCGCAACAGATATGGCCGCCATCTTGAATTTTAATGTGCCCCAATGCTCAACATACAAACTTTTGCCCAGAACCTGAATAAAATGCCAAAATATTATCATTCTTTCATGAATAATTCTACGCGTTTAGTATTTTCTGAGTGTTCCTTATAAAAAAAAAAATTTCTTGTTTGAATTATTTCATCCTGGATGACTGTGTTTTATTCAGTGATATAGAAAAGAGAAAATCTACGTGACTTGGACGTATAATGGGGCTTAAGAATTACAATCCATAATTAACGTCAATTACACAGAACTAACTAAAATGACATTTTAAAGTTTTAGTAACGTGGCTCCCAAACTCTTGATGGTTTTGAGTCGTGCTGGGTTCCGGCGACAACGGTGAGTTGTGAAAACTCTCCGTTCCAAAGAGGGTGTCTAGCCAAGAAAAAAATCTATCTTCAGAAACCTTTTACAAAGGCAAAATTGTTATTTTTGGATATTATTTGTCTGGATTAACTTTCGCAAAGGTGTGAAATATAATATTGAATTGTGTAAACCTTTTTGCCTTCCAAATGTTGTGATATTATTACTGTAGTTCATGCATTTAATCTCAAAGACCCGTTCATCCAAATTACGAAACAAAGTATTTGCTCCCTAAATGCCACTAGATTTTTTGATATCTTAAAACATGAAGATGTCAGTTCAACATATTGTGACTAGAATACCATTTAAAACAGTTTCAGTGCTAAGACTTTAAATGATCGGCTTGAAGCTCCTGACACGTTTTGGATTCTAAGTAGAAAGAAAGTTCAAAGACATATCTACAGATAAATCATCGCACGTATTTACGTTTTTACTAAGTTGCTGTTATTTTTACCATAATTAACTGTGTTTTTACAAAGCCTCAGGTAGCGATTTCCTTCGATTCTTCCCATGACTAGCAACAAGCAGCAGAGACAATTAGAGTATGTTAATTTATTCAAGTCCTCTTATAACAGTTATTGTTGATAATTATATGTTAGACATGTTCTTTTAAATCAGCTTGGGGCTATTTGAGTGTCAAAGTTAACTAAACTTTTGACATGAAATTGTCAATGGGCTAAGCAAACCAACACTTTACATTCCCATTCCATTGTTGTTATTCTGGGTCTGAAACCATCTGAGATAGCGAAAAAAGGACGCTTTTAATGCTTCAAGCGTCGACATCTTCGTTAAGAATCTTTTTGTTATAGTAAGAATGAAATAAAATTGAATAATAGACATGCGTGAGATAAGGGTACATTTGAATACAAACAATAGAGAACTAATCTTCATTCAGCGCTCATAGTGATGGCGGTGCCTTTGACCGTGTCTAAAACGAACCTTAAAGATATTGTTCTCTGTACCGTGAATTTGCGCAATTCTTTCTTTCTTTTCGTTAGAGAACCTCAAGCCTTCGTTCTTGTTCTGTTTTGAATACTACGGGTCCTGGCGGGTCAGCGGAGTCTAGAGGGTTAATGTCACGGGATGCTATCGGCAGTGCACGGCAAATCGAACTCTCTAGAAGACACGATATGATTGAACACCGGAAATAATATTGTATTTGAACAGATTCAAAAGTCCTTATTGTTTTCGCGTATTGATAAATTCAATATAACGCTTTGTAATGTTATGATAAGGCACTATATGAAGCAATGTACATATATTCTTGACGCTACACCGTTAAAATTGGAACTTTTGGCTGGATAAGAGGTACGCGGGATTATTCTTACGGTATCCAGATATTTATAACATTTTGAGCATCTAAACTAAAACAGCGAGTCTCAGTCATGATGTGTTTGTTAAGCTATTTAGTTAACACATCTTTATAGCCAACGCATTTTACTAAATTTTCTATATTTGATGAACTAAAAAAAGCCCAGGTTCCTTCTTAAGCCAACAATTGCATTTCCTCCAAATGTGTTTTGAATTTAAACTTTCCAAGCCCTTTGGCTTTTCATAGGATATCGGAATTTGACAGTTCGGAAGTTAGAACCGAGCAAGTGTCGGAAGTAAGGTAGCGGATTTTTTTTCATCATATCATCGGTATGGTATAGTTTTACATCATTAGCCTCTGACACAACGTAGCCCTGACCTTGTGCGCATCCACAACATACATGCGCGTTCACACTGATTACGTGTTTTCTAAGCAAAAAGCCTTAAATCAAAATCAAGAAGCCCAAAATGTAAACACAGCAACTGAGACCTGACAGATGAACAACTATCTGACAAACAGACGATTAGAAATTACAGTAACTTGAGGGATACGAATGCAGAAGCGCAGGATGTCGGGTTCTAGATTGCTCCCACGTATAGGATAATATGAACAGGAAAAAGAGGGATGACTAAGCCCCCTTTTGGATCTAGTGGAAGTGTTTTGGAATGACGATTATGTTAATCTGTCGGCGAAAACACAAATGAGTTCGTCTGGGGCTTTCTTATAGTAGAATAGTAACCGGAAGTGGGTTTGAGTGCACCCGTCTGCCCCTAGCATATGTCTTCTTTGTTAGCACTCATCACAGAAGCTTTGGTTTTGCATTTGAACAACTACAGTATCTCGACTAATTAAAATAGCTTTTTTTCTCCCATAAAATATCACTTTAAATCGCAACAGTGATAGCGGACAATTAAAGCGAGTTGTTAAATTGTTCTTAAGTCAACGCTTATGTCAGAGGTAATCCCTCGGTTGGGTAACACTGCCTGAAAGTGGTAGTTACTGTCGATCAACTGACGACTTAGCCCGGGATGTATGTCAATCTTCGCATGTTAGTATAATCGCTGTTATATGATAGATGGATATCTAAGCGGTCACCAGCGAAATAGGCGGTCTCGTGACGTCACCAAGCACACAAATAAAAAGCTCAAGAAAATAATAAGAGTGCCGAGGGGGCGGTGAGTTACGTTGTATTCTAACCATGGCAAACTGTCCACAAATCTCTTTATGTCGTTGCACCATGCGTGCTGTCTAGATTCCTGTCACGTTGATTTTATTCTCGCGCATTGTAAAATAACCTGAGACTCGCGATCACTTTAGACAAAAATCTACTGTACTATGTCCTCATGACATTCCTTCATTTCCTGAGTGCGTTGGCAGCATTGAGAGAACACGGAACTTTAGTGATTCGATTTGATTGAAACCTTTGGTGTCCCAGAGTTCAGACTAGTCCTCCGAGTTAAACTTTGATCACAAATGATCCCGTAGGTAAGATTGGGACGCACTGGTCTCGAGTAATACGATGCTCAAGATCGGGCCGTTGCTAAATATAAACCGTATTTAGATTAACGTAACGTCACTCGATGAAAGCTTTATTCGAATTCAGTGGTTTTCACAATGGTCTCATCGCTCTTTTTATTTACAGCGCTGTGATATACAACCAAGTCAACGCTTTCACTAACAGATGAAGCCTGTTCGAGATCGTGGAGCAGTGTTTAAGGGCACTTTGGGTGTTTGACGTTTTGCAAGAAGCACTTTTAGAGAGTGTTACATGGCGCTGGACGATAGAGTGACATTGCATGAGAACCCTTTCGAGAACCTAGTTGTTTGGGAAAAAAGACACCCAATTTCGACTTCGAAGCATCGAGAAAGGACATGCGAAAAGCTAAAAACTATAAGTACAATTGTGCTTAAAGATGGAGACGAAAAAGATGACTACATAAGCGATTACTGTGTTCTTGTAGCGGCCACGAAAGATTCGAGTTCACAAGAAGGTCGATCGCGACCTGCATTGTTAAGTGACCGTGACCGTCCCCATTATTCCACCACTGGCTACAACACATTCGCTAAGAAACACATTACAGGATCGTTATACGAACCACAAAAAGCTCCTTCCATAACTCCACAAAGGCCTACGACGATTCAACCAAGTTGTGGGTTAGAATTTCCAAAATATAATGACGATGAAAAGATATTTTGCTGCAATCGCGATATCGACTGTATTATAGACTATGCTACGTGCATGTGTTGCCTGAAAGGAGCCATGTATCACTGTACGAAAGATACTTATAATGAAGGGGACATGGCTGAGGACCCATGTACATGTGAGCACGATCCTTCAGCACGGTCGTGTGTTTGTAAATGGGCGTGCATGGCAATTTGTTCGCTTTTCGTTCCCTGTATATTATGTTATCTACCAGCTAGAGGCTGTGCTAAAGTTTGTAAATGTTATAAGCAACACAGAACTGCGAAGAGACAACGGGGACGCATCAAAGTCCCTCCATGATTCTCTCTGTATTCTACGCTTTATTATTGATAGAATTAATTTATAATTTAGTAGGGTATGGGTCACATTGATGCCTACTCCAGCTCCATTTCTACAATCAAAAATACATGTTTATTTATGACCGAAAAGTGTAAATATTAAATTTGCTGAAATGTTATTCGACTTTGTTGTTATGCTTGTTGGCCGGAGATCGAATGTCTCTCCAGTGGGGCACTATACGGTGTATTGAATGGTTCCTAAGCGGAAATACCGTTCGATCGGAGGTCGGCTTGACTCCCCTGATATCAAAACGTTGTATACGAACCGTTGCTATTCGAGCTCGTCAAACAAACTGACATCGCATCAACCGAGGCATGTCGTTCTAGTGTTGTGGTTTTACGGCCATGCTGGGGTAGGAAATTAGGAAAACAGAGCACTACTCCATGGAATTATACAATCTTTATCACTAATCGACAGGAAGGATGTGCAAGAGTCGAGCTGTCTCCCAACCTACGACTGCTAATTTGTCGATTAACTTGTCGCTTCGATAGCCTTTTGACTACGATTAAGACATTTGTTGTTGGCAATGACACTCCGATTGTGTTGCAAATCGCTAAATGGGATAATGGGATCCCTATTTTGGACGTTTCCTATAAATTATTAATCGCTATGTAGGGTTATTTATAGAAATTTAATATTCCTCCATTCGTGATTTGAACTTTTGTGAACTTTGTGTATTTTGACTATTGGTTGAAAATGTTGTGCAATCGCTCGTTGTTTTTACACTCAGAGTTACTCTATCAGTCAAAGATTCGCTTAATTTCTAACCATTGAACTCTAATATCGCCGAAAAATTCATTTCATATGGCATGTTGAGTATGTTGGCATCCACTTCAGACGAATACACTTCAATTTGAATAGCTGAGCTCAAAAGACTGGATTAACTAAGTCTGTACGCTTCAAGAAGGGCATTATTCGGAAGTGAAAAAATTTCAAGTTTTCGCCATGATTTCTGCTCCCGTTTGAGTCACTTTTTCGATGTCAAAGGTCTATTTTGTTTTGAAGTTTGAGCATTGAAATCAATATCTTGTCTTCCTAGTGATTTCTTTTTTTATTTTTTATCTTTTTTTTGATTTTCAGTATTTCTGTTTTACATCGAGTTGATTCTCAAAGATTTTGAAATATGAGTTTTATTATTGTAATGATAACACTTCTTTTGGTTGCAAAATCGCCGAAAAAAATATCGGTTTCCATTACTTTGGAACCCTTTTGTGCCCTTGTAAAAGATAATTGCTCTGATAATTATAGGAATTACGAATACGATTTTTTGATATCTTATAAAAAATATTTTTTATATCTTTAAAAATTAATGCATACTACAGTATGTCAATCGGTATAGAACTTACCATACTTTTGACATGAATTCCCTTAATTTAACTAATCTAACGAGCTTACAGCCGTAATCTTTTCGAATTAGAAAAAAATTATTTATAAATAATAGACTATTTATAATAACAACATAATTTTTAATATACGGCATACCGCTCGGTTATTTCCAATTCCCTCTAGATATAATTATCTTTGCGTTTATTCGCAATTTTGTTGCCATAGTAATTCCTGCTTATTTATTCCTAATTATTACATCAATTTCAATCAATTACACAACAATATTAATTGCTCTAAAGTAAAATGGGTAATTAATTTTCTGTTTTGAACGAACAACATAATATTTACGTTTTATTTAAACCGACAATCACGAAAACTCGTTAAAAGGATTACGAATACGATTCACGGGAAAATAATCAATTCATTAACTATGAATAGTTCTTTTTTTAATTTTCATTTTATTTATTCATTTATTCAGTACTAAATTATTTTGTTTGGACTTTATTACTAAAATGCCCGTAATACAGAGATATTCGTATTACTGAGGTGTTCGCATTATTGAGGTATCTAATAGGGAGAGGTTTCGCTGTATTTTCATGTGCAAAGTCGTACTAGCCTCACTCTTGGTAGGCCTTCTATTCCTCCTCTTTGCTAATAACATCCAGTTTTTTCAGTTCCAAAAATACAAAGTTCGCCTTAATGTCCAAGAAAATTTCCATGTGCCATCATTTTGCCATTCTTCCTGTAATGCGTTTCTCCTATATGTTTCAATATTTCAATTTTTATATTCTCATTTCCCATTTTTCCATTTAAAATTAGTCTTAATAAGAGATAATTTGACAGTCAAATTGATATTTAGACAGCTAAAGCGGCTGTCGAGGTAGTACAAATATATCACCAGTAGTTTCTAATAGAAAACGAGTGCTGCCAATAGAAAACACGCCGTCTTTGAGTGATTTAATAGAATAATCAACTGGGGGCACAAAAGGTTAACTCCTTCAGTTCGGCTCAAATTACATACTGCCAAAATAGCATGACACCTTTCACTCTCGGCTATTTCTACTATTTATATCTTATTCCGTGGAAGAATTGACGTTAATCCAAGCTCAATCGATTTGTCAAACTGAAATGCAAGGAAGGAAATAAATTGTTCCTATAAAAATTACATAGTTTTAATGGTCTGATTTTCATTTCTATCAGCTTTCTGAATCATTTTTTTCCTTTTTGTATTATGACCATGATTTTTACACAATTTTTTCCCGCATTTCTCGCGCCGCGTTTTGCCATTATTTGAAAATTATATTATGCTGTCTTGTCCCAAGAAAGAGATTCAGTGGCACGTTTTGTTCTCTTCACACAGTCAAAACTATGAACATAACATCAGCTTTGGTTCAAAAAAAAATATCGATCTCTTTCTTGTGCGCGACAAAGGATTTTTCAACAAGTGCAGACAAAACATTCCAGTAATCTTTGAAAGCATCAGTACACTAAACTATAATATTTACTTTCATGCAAATTAGTCCATTTGCAGCTCTAAGTGACTTAGCGAAAGGCGTCATGGGGTGTCCTTTTTGGCAACTATGATTATTCACTGAATTCACGACAACCATCGAAGGAAATACGTTAATACTTGGCTTAATTCCTTCCCGTACTTAGAATAGTACAAATCGCTGCAAAAATGCACGAGAGCAATAATTCTAATACTTTTAATGCGTTGAAAACATTATTAATTACCCCGGATTCAGTTGATATTGAAAAATTCTTAATTTATCTTTGTATTATTCCAAGTTCTCTTCACATTTTCCGTTTAGCAAGCTTGTCGGGTCTTCCTGGTCCTTCCCGTACGTAGAATAGCACAAATCACTGCAAAAACGCACGAGAGCAATAATTCTAATCCTTTTAATGCGTTGAAAATATTATTAATCATCCCGAGGAATTCTTGATTTAGCTTTGTATTAACACGTCTGAATTAAGATTAGCTCACGATAAATATTATTCTATGATAACTAAGCTTAAAATTTGGTTATTGTAGGAAAATTTATGTTATAGCATATGTGAACGCGCGCGGCACGGAATTTCATGTCTTTCATCCCTGCAAGTTTTATCTGATTGTTTTGAAAATAAATAGTACCAATTACTATCAGATGAGCTTCTATACTGAGTTTAAATTCACTGTAATAAGGTGGCCCTAGGGTAATTTTCTTATTTCAGTTCCCAAATTCCGTTTAGCAAGCTGGTCAGGTCTTCCTGGTCTTTTGCAAGATGTCAAGAATTGATGGAATTTTGACTGATGCATGTCAATTACAAGTCAACTTGTACTGTCATGGCAACGTAAAAGGAGATAATCTTGACAACCAGATTCAGGGATCTTTGCTTTAGTTGCCATAGCAATGAGTTCACATGGACATTTATCAAGCATTAAAACTGTAGATAAGAAATTTTGATCGGATCTGGAAAAGTGACCATTTTTCAAAATGAAAATTGGCAGTCTTGTCCAAAAATTCAGTACAACAGGAAGCCACTTAAAATACAACCGCCAGGGTTATGCTCCTTAATTTGCAAGATATATTTCATTGGCTGGTTGGCTACGAGTTAAATATATAGTTAAAGGGTTTTTAGACAAGAACTCGAATCAAGTAGCGCCTGGCAGGTCAAGTGAAATATGATTCACTAGTGTTGAAGTGGAGATTTTGACCCTGATGATCAGAATATCGCATTCCAAAATACGGGTTATGTTTACCAATCCGTACGAGTTTTGTTTTCAATTCCGAAGCCCAATAGCATCTTTTCTCATAAGTAAATTACGTAGTAATCATAACGTGTGATTTCCATAGGGAATTGTCATTGATTTTATGTTAAAAACCTAATTTTTTTCACATCTAGAATCATGCACTTTTTCCATGAAATGGAAATTGAAAGTGAAACTTACAGGAGTATGTAATCAGATAGTCACTGAAATTTTCTTGTATTTTACAATCCCCGATAAAATTCCTATAAATTCTTACGATGGTGCTGTAAAATCCCTTTAAATTTTCACATACTTTGTAAATCTATATATCCAAATTTCCATACTTTTACATAGAATGGAATCAGTAAAAATTTGTTTACAGTGTTCAATGCAATCTGTTAATGAAAGCTAGAAAAAAAATCACTTCATGTACTTTATAATCCCATAAAATTAATAAATTCTGAAGATGCTGTAAAATCCCTGTAAATTGTAATGATACTTTGTAAATCTGTATAGAGTACAAACATTAAATGTGTGCAACACTTTCCACTATTTACTACAAAATAGTGTTAATTAAACAATAGAAAACAATAAAATTAGCAGTATTTAGTGGTATTTATGTTGCACAGTTTTAGTGTTTGTACTCTACCTAAATTTCCATACTTTTTACATAGAATGGAATCAGTAAAAATTTGTTTACAGTGAAAAAATCCCTGTGATATTTAAGAAGCATAGGCAATCAAACCCCTACTCTTTTCCTCTGCTGCTGTGCTTTTACTGTTCTAACAGGTTCCCCTCGACTATTCCAACTACGATACAGGAAATACACCGACGATTATTAGAATATTTTACATTTTTGGAGCAACTAAAGATGCTTATATACTAATGCCCTTAAGGCCATTATCATACTTATCTGCATGGCGGTCCGCGTCCATTCGAACACAAGAATCTAATAACTATTATAGCATTACAATCTCGATTTAACGGAAAATTACAGTGTCATAGGTTCTAGGTGCTGTGCAATATTGATAGGGTATGGAGTTGGTGGTGTGGTACCGTAGTTTTCAGGTGTTGTGTAACAGGAAAAATCGAAGGCAGGAGTGTATAACTGTCGTGGGAAGTTTAGGGGTCAGTATTTGTCTGAGTTTAGGAAGTCGAGGGCTGGTTTAGTTTCATTTAATCGGCTGAGTTATTGAGCCCAGTCAGAATGAGATTTGAAAAACCTTGCCAAAACTAAATACGCGAGTAAAGACAACTTTAGCGATTAACGTTTTTGACAGAAGTCAACCAAAAATGAAAATATGGGTAAGGTCTGCATATCACTTCCATTTGTGAAGATAATTCCCATGACTGAACTTCATTTTGAATGGAACAATTGATGTATCAACGAACAGCTGACAAAACACGCTGTAAAAGCTGGAAAGAAATTCATTTCCATTTTTGGGAATGCACAAGGGTTTAGGACCGGTTTGAATACACAAAAGAATGCGCTGGCAAAACAAACCACTTCAATTTTATAACCAGTACTCAATCCCCTTGATACATGAGAGTCAAAACGAAAGACAAGCTAGCTTAATAGCATACATCACTGCGAAAAAATAAGCAGCTCGACCACGTTAAATAAAAGTATAAATTTAGACTTACATTGTAAATAAAATGAGTTTACAAGGATTTAATGATTCACTCAGGAAATGGGTTGGGACACTAGGGTCTTAATTCACATATTTTTACAACGTTTTTCGATACTTTTTTCCCTTAGAAAAGAAAGACATTACTATTCCAGTAGTGACCTTGGGAAGGTAGAACAGCCCATGGAATAATAATGTGGCTATTTTGCAATAACAAACTATGAACTTACTGCTATTTCTAATGAGGTTATCGAAGAGAGCTTAAATTGTCGAATAGAGATATGACACTCCAACTGAAAGGAAGTGTGGGTAATGAATATCACTAAGAAATTTATCCCTCTTAGTAAGGTAGTAGGTATTTTGAACCATTTCATTTTTTGTTGGTTAATATAGACTATATAGCAAAAAGACAATGTGGAGCGACGCCATTTTGGACAGCAAAACACGATGTGGGTTGCAGGCCTCTAACCATTCACGACTTTCCATACTCGGGTTCAGTGACCAACAACAAAAATCAACCCTAGAAAATCTCCCAAGCAGTTGGTGGGGGAAAGGAGGAGGAAGTGGGAAGGAGGAGGCTCAATGGTGAATGTTGATATTCAGAGGAATAGAGTTGGGCGTTGCCTCAAATCACGTGATGGTTACTTACTAACTTGCTTACAACTGGATAGCATAGTGGTTACCCGTCTAAAGACGTGAGTAACCACAAAAACTGCAGAACTATTTTCTATTTTTAGAAAGAAAAAACGGCTTAGGAGAGCCGCAAGTGGACATGAAAAAGTGCGAGGTCTATCACTCCTATCATGCTTTGTGCACAAAATGCCGTCGATGTACAGTGCCTATGAGATCGCATTTGCAATAATGCAACCATAATTCTTTTCGGTTATGCAATCTCCATTCACATTTTGTTCCAACGCATGTAGTCAACTACAAAGATTGAAAACTAAAACCGCAGTAATATGACCGACCGTTATAAGAGTTCAAACTTCCTGTTTACGATGTAGGACTTGACGTACACATAGCTGCGAGAGTGACTAAGTGGCACTCATTACCAATATCATAAACAACAATATAGTTAAGATACGATAATAACAGAATTATAAATATCCATAGTAAGCAATACTGAAAAAATTTTTTTTTTTTTGTACTTTCATTAGAAGATGAAATTTTTGGTACGGGAAGCGTATATAATAAAACTTATGTTAAGAGAATGTGTCTCATGTCGATGACGGAATCACTTTAATCTTGCAGCTATAGTACTGTTTCCAAAGTTAAGCTTTTTTGGAATAATTTTCATACGAGTATTGTGATGAGCAGATGAATATTATCTTTGTACATGCGCTGCTAAAAAAATGACCCCCGAGCTAAATATTTATAGCTATTATCGAAGTAGCTAGTAAGGTGCATTGTGGACTCCGTTACGTTAGATTATTAAGTTAACTTGCCAACATTGACAGAGAAATAAAAATGTGTTTTAGAAACGTAAAAACAGGTAGTTTTGAGTATATTAATCTTTGAAAGCAAGTTGTTTCAATAAGGAGTTGTTTTTTATGTCACGGTTACATTGAAGTGAGAAATTTCTGTCATTTCCTGTTTTCGTTCGTATAATTGTAAATACTGAACTCAATTAAAAGCTATTTATATCATGTAACATCAAATGCTTTGATATATCTTGAAAATTGCATACATTTTAAGGAAGAGGAGTAAAAACTGTATTCAACATGCATCCTGCGCGTACTGTGATTGTAGCCGCGCAAATCACGAAATCAGGTGCATAACACGCACAAAAACTACTTAATTATAAGTGTTTACTGTTCCAAAAGGGTCTCATCTAAATACCAAATACGGTAGTATCTGTACCTCAAACTCCAGCCACTTTCACATATGAATGCCTATTGATTGAAATCGTTATCACCCTTGATTTTTTGGATCTAGGGATTAGGACTATGGGAAACCGTACATTTAAAATATAACTAGACGATCAGCGATCGTTTACATGGGCTTCCTGTGGTAYCACAATCAGCAAACGAAGCARWCAGTGACAATAGTTTTATTGTGGTAATCGAAGAATTGTATTTTATTGAGCCCTAATAAAGTTAATATTACTAAGACTAAAGCAAAAATATTTCTTTTAATAAAAATAATAAAACAAGCAATGTACTTTATAGCATTAAGCATAATATTGTGAAAGAAGTAAGTATGTTTGACGAGCCATTACTCGTAAACACAAGTCGATAGTCTTTCATGTTCTACGCTTAAAATACTTCCAATCATTTCATTTTCCTCAGTATAACACTGTTTGCATTCCTTAGATAGTCTTTTGTGATTGCAGAGCCGTATATAATTCGCTTATTCACGATAGGAAGATTCACGATCAATTCACGGTATCCCTACAAATGCCCTTTCGAAAAACGCTCGACATCATTTAGTGTTTCTATACCGCTAATGACACGTGGATTTGTAAGAGATTTGAGCGTATTTGTAGTAGCTAGATCCGTGATTTCTATCTCTAATATAAACGATCCTTAAACTAGGTCCGAAATGAAGCACGAGGCAAGCGGTTGCTTAGAAACATTAATGACAATAACACAATAGAAAAGGTCCCGGATATACMACTTTGAAGCATGTTGAAGGAAAGTCGTCGGTAATTTTAGACATGGTCTTCCACAGGAAGCCCATGTAAAAATGCCAACTTTTTTTCCGAAATATTGGATATTTTGTATCTTCAACTGATGAAATCGCACTTAAATTCAGAACTCAACTTAAAATTTCAACTGTTTCAGATTTCGTATTTCGTTAGAATTTCATGAAAGCGCGAACATTCATCGAAATGTGCTAAATTCGACGTTGAATTATACAGCCGAAGATAAATTCTGTTGTCAATGTTTCATCTTTATAAATTCAATTAATGGATTAGTCAATAATCCAGTTTCGAATTCTCCAATGCTCTGTGTTAGCCTCATTTGTGCGCAAAATATTCGTAATTGTGAGAATAAAAGTGTGAGATTTCATATCAATTCTATTGTCTCTCTTTTCAAATTCCATGCGTTTTCACAGGCTATCAATAAAACAAAAGAATATGTTACTTGGTTTTGAGGCTAACACAGAGCAAACCAGAACTCGAAATTGGAGTATTCTATTATTTAAGTGAGTCTTATCATTCTTGTTCACTAAGCATGTTCTTGAGTCTATAATGGGTTCCTATCGGGGCTTATTATATCCTTCAATTCGATAACCTCTAAAAGAGGTCAAGCGTGATCACCTATATAGGGTATGCTTATCATATAAAATGTATTCACGCTGGCGCCAAGATAACCAAAAGATCGGAGAAAACCCGTACTACACAAATCAATTTTAAATCAAAATGGATTGGTCTAAGTCAAGGACCAGTGCTCCTTTCCATTATGACGTCATGCAATGATCGGCGAAATGCACTTTGGGAATGGAGAAAGTTATACGCTCTTGTAGGCTTTATCATTCATCCAGCGTCTGAAACACGCACAGGTATCCCAGTATCTTTTTCATTTATTTCCGACKGAAATTAGACAGAAATTCCGGATGTAACACTGGCTATATCAGCGGTATTTTTCCACTAATAATGACGTCATGTTTTGACGAAGTGCATCATGGTATCGATGAAATTATTTCATTAAAATAATAAATTAAAATATTAAAATATTGAATATGGCGGAAAAGTCTTTGCGAAATTAATGTCGTCCGCGTCGAGGAGGATGCTTTAGAAGATTATTAGATAAGTTGGGTGTTACTTGAGGTAATTAAAGACCTATCTGGAAAATATGCTTGTTCTTCATAGAAAACAAACCTGAACAGCACTCACTTTTGACTATTGTAGAATTTTCGCCAATCCATGTATGCCAACATTGTTCGTTGAAGGTGTATTTGTTTCTAAGTTTCACATCATAGATACAACATAATGATAAGCTATTATGTTTTGGACTACCTGTGGTGAATAAGCGACAATCACGGGATGGGAGGGTTGATATTTTTGACAATGTCATTATTGCAGTTTCATTCAACAAATATGTACAAGATCACAATGTCAATGTATTAAGATAAACAAGTCAATTTTGCAAAAAAACTCAATTATATATTATAACTGGCACTAAAGCTCTTTCAGTGAAAGTTCAAAGTTGTATTCTTTCACGGCTATGACTGATTTGTACGGCTTGGACAGGAATTTTGTCGATCTTCGAGAGGACTGGGAAGCAAAGAACGAGCTTCGAGAGACACCATTCCCATGTACTTCTCCATGAAGAAGTTATTTGTCAATCTAAGGAGATACCTCGCCATATAAAGAGTTACTTGACCATATAAGGTTAAAATCTCTGGTTTGATCTCTGATCCCAGCAAGTTCTCCATAAATAGAGTTAATTAACCATATATGGAGTTGATTCTCCATATTAGGAGATACTTCTCCATATCAAAAGTAAGTTCCACTCCAGTGAGAATTAATTACAACCTCTTTGTCTTTTTACGCATTATGCGTTTGATTTTCTTCATTGTACGAGCTTTTCCTAATTTCTTTCGTTGTCTGTAGAAATTTCCGTCGTTGCTTACTTCTTCAAAATCTCTTTGCAGAAATAATTTAGCTTTTAACTTAAATTGTCCTCGAGGACCCTTCAAGACTTTACCGCGTTTGTTCACTGTCAGAAACCAATCGCGGTGCAAGTCAGACTGATACATGTAGTAGCCAGAATATTCGTGCTCTCTAAACCTGCATCTTCTCAACGGCATCTGTCTTCTTCGCTTCTATAAGGTTAAATAAAATAGCGTTTTAATATAATATAATATAATATGATATGATTGCTCGTTTTCACTAAAAATATATAAGGCCAGAGTCCAAGTTGGTTGAACTATAAACGATATAAACTAATGAGAAATCCGGCTTTGTTGAAGTTCATCAAATGGTACAATTGCCGCTACGGTGTATTTCGCAAACGAAGAATGCAATGCAATACAATACAATGCCGGCAATACAATGCAACGTAACGTAATGCAATAAGTTAGGTATAATACCGAGAACTGAGGCAATAAATCCATGCAGCACGGAAAATGCAGCGTTTGAGTATCCGAGCTACAGTTTGATTGCGGAAGGCTTCCCAACAAAAACAATGCCAAACAACATTAACGTTATAACCATGGTCAGGTTACTAAATTCCCAGAAGGGTTACTCTAAACAATTGCTTTTCAATTCTATTCAGGGTAAGCTAACGAATCTCAACTACAACAAATAAAACGAGTTTTTATGTTATCGGTTAGTTACGTAGCATAGTACTATAAGATGGGTATTTGGATTCGGAAGGCTTCGGGTTCGAATCCTACAGCAGGGTTTCTATCAAAAGGCTTTTTCACCAAATTTCGGAACTAAGTACATGAATTCGGGAGTCAGTACAAATTAAAACGACCGCTGGGAGTATGGGACGACTGCAAACAAAACAGCAAAAAGCTGACAAAAAAAGCTGACTCAATGATGTAATAATGGAATTTAGTGTAGCGCGTTGTAGTGCAGAGTGGAGTGGTGTGGTGTAGTGCAGAGTGGTGTGGTGTGGTGTGGTGTAGTCTAGTGCAGAGTGGTGTGGTGTAGTCTAGTGCAGAGTGGTGTGGTGTGGTGTAGTCTAGTGCAGAGTGGTGTGGTGTGGTGTAGTCTAGTGCAGAGTGGTGTGGTGTGGTGTGGTCTAGTGCAGAGTGGTGTGGTATTGTCTAGTGCAGAATGGTGTGTTGTAGTGTAGTGGAGAGTAGTGTGATGTAGTACAGAGTCGTGTGGTATAGTCTAGTGTGCTGTAGTGCAGAATGGTGTGTTGTAGTGTTGTGGAGAGTAGTGTGATGTAGTACAGAGTCGTGTGGCATAGTCTAGTGTGCTGTAGTGAAGAGTGGTGTAGTGTAGTGTAGTGCAGAGTAGTGTGGTCTAGTGTGGTGTAGTGTAGTGTAGAGTAGTGCAGAGTGGTGTGGTGTGGTGTAGTGTAGTGTATTGTAGTGCAGTGTGATGTGGTGTGTTGTAGTGCAGTGTGGTGTGGTGTGGTGTGGTCTATTGTAGTGTAGTGCAGAGTAGTGTGGTCTAGTGTGGTATAGTGTAGTGTAGACTAGTGCAGAGTGGTGTGGTGTAGTGTAGTGTATTGTAGTGTAGTGTATTGTAGTGCAGAGTGGTGTGGTGTGTTGTAGTGTAGTGCAGAGTGGTGTGGTATAGTGTAGTGCAGAGTAGTGCAGAGTGGAGTGGTGTAGTACAGAGTGGTGTGTTGTAGTATAATGCAGAGCAGTGTAGTCTAGTGCAGAGTGGTGTGGTGTGGTGTAGTGCTATGTATAATTCAGAGTGGTGTGGTGTGGTATAGTGTCATATGTATAGCAGGATGGAGTGGTGTAGTTTACTGTGCTAGTGGAGTTCAGGACTGTGTGCTGTAGTGCAAAAATAGTTTAGTGTGTTGCAGTGTAGTGTAGCATAGGGTAGTTTATTGCACTTGATCGAAAAACGAAAGCCATAATGAAGGTCCAACTTACCCTTAAACCTTTTAGCGTTCCATTTTTATCCATACAAAGATAAAGGTTACTTTTAACTCCACGTATGAGTACAATGCTGAACGAAATCGTCTCGATGGAAACATTAGCTGTGAATAAAACAAGGATGTCAATCGTAATATACGTAATAAAGGCTATGAGACGTCGTTTCCGCCATAATAATGGTTGGCGCACACTACGACGTAAGCAGAAGTTGAATCGTAGATGGCAAAAGTCCTGCATGTCCTGCATATGTTTTACCTTTACACACTCATTTGTTTTTAGCATAAGCAAAGGAAGAAACATAATGAAACGGAAGACCTTTCTTTTTTTTATGTTTCTGCTTCCGCATTTTCCCAAGGTTCTCATGTGGAAAATTCCTGTTCTTCTGCCTCTACTTATGTCATAGAGTGTGAACTGACCCGGCTTACGTAGCAACCGCGTCCAAAGAGTGATGGAAGGCTGCACTCAAAGGAAACTGCTCATTACTATATCGCTAGGACGTGTGATTAGGCTGACGTTTAGATTTAACGCTTGCTGGTTGTGGATGAATGTTTCGACTGGCATTATATATAGATTGAAACAACCTAATTTGAATTCGGCTTTCATCCTCTCGTGTTTCTTGGACGCGTGTGCGTCGCAGACTGAATTTAGCTTTAAAGTAGCACTGTTTAATAGTAAATAGTACAAAGTATTGCACACTGGAAAAGTGCTCATTCATAACTTTATACCACAGCTATAAGATCAACGTAATTCCTAATAAAGTTCTTGATTTCATTTCACGGCTTTGCAGCGTGATTTTTTACAAAAGCTGCTAAAACTATCAGACAAGCAAACTGCAAATCTCGTAAACCACAAATGCTTAAAGATTACTTGAAAAACAATCAGGAATTTTGTGGCTTTGCAAAGAGGAATTCCAGAAATTACTCGTTTAACTCGTTGTGACTTGAGAGAAAATCTTCAGTCAGCTTTAACCTTGATTCGTCCTGCTTGCTGATATTTCATTATTTGCTCAAGGTATTCTATGTAAGTCTTGTGTCAAATTAGTATTGAAATGAATCTTCTTTTTTACTGATTCTGGTTGCTTTCTGCATTCAGTGAAATAGTTCACTCATACTCGTACACAATACTTGTAATCACAGTCATAATACTTCTACTTTAATCAGTACATTTTCTCATGTTTACGAAAACCACTTTAGACATTGACAAAACAGTAAAATGTACCAAAACTAAATAAAAGCTATATGCACTTTTTTTACTTGGCTTGTCTCGCGTGTCCGTTGTAATTCCATTGTCAGTTTAAATGCTGCTCAGAGAGTCGAAGTTGATCCAAAGGCGTGCAACGCCAACGATTGAACAATAGTTACAGTTGATATATTGATGCAATATGTGATGGCTTTTATTACTGAGAGGCATATAAATCGTGCTAAATCTCATAATGTGTGTTTTATTTGTGATTGATTGGTCTTATCGTTCGCACCTGTCACCTTTCACCCCATGTTGACAATAAAATTGATTCGTAAAACATCTGACGAAGAGTTTAGAAAACATTGCAAAATCGATAGCATCTGTACTTATAAAAGCTTGGTTGAAACCTCAGGAACTAGGTGAATGTCTGGAGTAATTATTGAACTGCTTTTGCTTCATTGCTGATTTGAGTTTTTGAGGGAGGGACTGTTTAAACCGTCCATCTATTCACCCATTCATCTCTACAGATCATCTATTCATAGCTGATCCACTTATCGTCCCATACACTGATTTATCAGTGCCAATCATCAATACATCCGCCATGCGACGAATTTATGATAAAATAAATCTGTAAAATGCTGCATGTGAGGTGTCCATGCTAATCTCTGTTGAATGGTTTCTTCCACTGATGAATTCATGCAGTTTTTTAATTACAAAAACACGTGCAGAGGCTGCGATCTCATTTTTAAAAGAACATTCAACGTGTACAGGTATTAAAAATGTTCAATTCTTATCTTGGGAATTTGAAATAAGAAGTGTTTCAGTAGAAAACTCAATGAAAAATGTTATGTTATTATTGGTATTTTACCATTTGCTCAAGCCAATGGGAAAACTATTCTATGTAGTTTATCTCTGTCAAAAAAGCCAACGATTAATCATCGTCCGAATACATTTGTCGTAAAGAAAATCCGATTGAAACTATTAACGATTCAAATGCACAACGTTACAACTCATTACTTGGACTCGCTTTTGCGCAATCAACATCACGGCTTCATGACACTTCCTCAAAGAATACTGTCTCATAGAAACTGCGAAAATCTAACAGGAGAGAAAAAGAACGAAATAAACGGAATATGCCAACTGCGCAAGATTAACTGATTTATTCTTTCAAAGAAATGCTTAAAGAATATTGTCTCATAATAACAGTGAAAATGCGCAGTATTAGAAAAGGACCAAGATAAGAGGAATATCCCAACTGGATAAGTTTAATAGGTATATTTTACCAAAGAAATCCTTCACATGTCAATTTTCACTAACATATGTTTTTCGGACCTCCCCAGTCGGAGTTTAAGGATCTCCCACAAGCAATTTGACCATCACTTGGCAATTTAGTCCAATGCTATGTTATTTTTACGTTCGAACCGAACAAATTCTTAACATACACTATTAATGAGCGAGCAATTACCAAGCTCACGCTAAACTATTAGTAAGCACGCACATTCATGCTGATTTAAGATGAGTCTATAGTGGAATAAACAGTAAGAATATAACTGCAGCATGCGATCGTTATAAATCAATGCAGTGAGGTCGACGTTGTACGGAGAAAACTCCGTCAATGGATAAACAAGCCATCAAGTCTGCCCTTAGGGTTTTAAGCAAGGGCAAATATATAATGCAAAACCAGCATTTAAAAAATGATGAAATCACGAACGTTTGGTACTGAAAGCCGGTTAGGAAAAACTCGAATCGGTTGTACTATTTTTTTGTCTAAGCGCAGCAGCGCGAAACAATCCAAAAACTATATTTACGGCAATTAGCTTACCAAAAGGTGAGTTTTCTCTTCCTAAGCCATCAACTCGGCCTGAATTGTGGATCTGTAAATGTCGACCAGAGTTACTCGAATACAATCGAGTCTCCAATGTTACTTGAACTCTGTAATCACAGTCCTGGGATTTCTTGATGATGTGGTCGAAACCAATATGTAAAGTTCTGCCATTCTAAAATGAACGTGTTAAATATCAGGTGAGAAGGCTTTATAGACAATGAATATATATTTTCAGCCATACCTGGCATTTCTTGTCTTTTTTGCGTGACTTTCTAGCGGTGACACTACAACTAAAAAGACGGATAACGATAAATTTGCTATAATAATTTATATAATGATTTTGACACTAGATAATGGGCAGTCAATTCAACTTCAACTCTTACCATAAAACGATCCCAAGAGCTAAAAGTCTGAAAAGGAAGGACTTTGTCATCTTTACCGAGAGAAAGTGGAAGTTTTCCAAAGAGCAGTGATGATGTTATGATCTAACTCCAGCAGTCTCGTGGCTTATATACAACTGGATAGTGTGGGAGACATGGGTTTGTTTTTAACCACTATTCTACCGTACCACGACGCTGTCCTGCCGTGAACGTTGAAAATAGTCTGCGTGTAGTGTTACCGTTTCCGTACCCGATGCGTTACCGAAATTGTTTACTGACGTACCCCCAAAAAACACAACGCCTGGGGATTGATATCGACCCTAATTACAATAACCTGAATTCACAAATGTTTACGTAAGCTCTTAGCAAAACAAATTCAATCTACAAATATTGGAATTATAGATCATTTGGGGTTTCTTAAAAAATCGTTCAAGGAAACAAGAGTTTTTGTAAGTTTCGCCGACTTCCGTTTACGGGGTTCCAAGTTGTACAACGGGATGTGCGACCTCGCGTTTCCTTATTGCCTATCAAGAAACTGTTGAAAAGAATTAGCGCCGATAATCGCCGAGTTATATATCATGATAAACCACCTTAATTCAAAGGTTCATCTTAAAAATGTATATTTTAGGTTTGGCACCGAAAGGGGTTCGTTTGATAATACGCTTTTGCCAGAAAGCGCTTCTTCTGAGATTACTGTATGCATAGCCAACTATGTTGTATGCAATAGTAGTTTTATCGCCCTGCAAGGAGAATAATAAACACTGTTTTCCTGAGGAAAACCAGTGGAAATAATCGAAATTTAAACTCTTTTCGCCTTAATAACGTTTTACGTCTATGTTAAGCATGTTAAATAATAACATTTCATGTGAAAATCAGTAGTTGGATTCCTTTTTTTGCGCTGGAACAAAATTCAAAGATTACTCATTTTAGTAGTGTCAATAAGTACAGTAACGTCCCTTTAGTCAAACAAAGTACAACTGACCTTAGTATTTTATTACATAAAGATTTCATTCGTCAATAAAACATTGGATGCCCTCCAGTCTCAGCTAAAAAATAATCTGCAACAGCCAACAAAAATACCAGCAGAAATTTGAGTTCCCTCAAACAATTGATTTGGATAGTCGCCGACTTCTTGTGGCGCAAAGTTTCCAACCCATCACTTCTCAAAAGCAGCTTTCATGACAAGGGAAAAGCGAAACAATACCGCCTCTTCTCCCGGGGTGATAGTCGGTTAACTCTAGGATGTGTTTGACGACAAGAGAGTCGGTCACATCAAGCCATGAAAACCAGTAAACGTTTTAACAAATGTCAAAAAAGTTGAAACCAAAAGGTCAAAAACCATGAGAACTTTTCACAGAATCATTTGATAAACACAAGTTGAAGTCATTCATGGCACAAAATCAAGAGTACTACCTTAAAAGGACGCACAATTTGAGGATATTCCATCTGATGTAAGCGCTTCCCCAGCATGAAAGTCACCGAGTTGCACTTTTTGTATTCCACCCCGCGTGAAATGGCCCGCAGCGCGAGCTGTCAGCAGCATCACACATTTAGATTACATCTCACTTGTTGGGCACTTGGGATGTCAATCAACCTATCAACTTCTATTTCCGGCGCTAAATTGATAGAGATCTATATCTTCTTTGAGCTCCAAAACTCCTTAAGTTCTTATAAACTGTACAAGAATGTTGTACGTTCCCTTTCGCGGTGCTTAAAGACCCCTCGGCCCCTCAACTCCAATAGAAGAAATAGTTGTTTTTTTTTAAGGATTTGGAGTAGTTAACGTTGACTCAGTGCTATAAAAAGATACAGAATTAAGACTAAAAACGCTTAGACTCTAAACTGATTATTTTCTTGAATAATTTTTCGTAGACCGTGAAAAATAGAAAAACTTACAGCCTTAAAATAACTGCCGACGGAAAGTTCAAAATTTCTACAGAGCAATTTTCTATATCGATACTATAGTGAATCCTCTAGTCCTTACTTAAGTACTCTTCTATTATTTTGCTACTGAAAGTTATTTTCAAACATATTCTGTCAGTTTGGTCACTTATACAAATACCTATAGGTTGTACCTGACTCATTGGAAATACCATTTATGATCTCAAATCATTGACAAGCCGGACGTAACGCTAAAAGTTCACGTATAACATCATGCTGATGAAACAAATTGAGATGGGTGTGAGTTTTCCGTGGAGTAGTGCCTTGCCCTCACTTACGTACACTCGCAGCATGCAATAAGAAAGAGGGAACAATGAATCCAACAAAACGATTTTATCATCATATCTTTGAGACCACACAGATCGCAAAAGTAAAAACGTGAGTTACACAATACCTTTGGTTTGATACACAGACAGAACAGTACGTAAATTTGATAGTCGTACGTAAGAGATAGTTCGCTTGTGAATAGAAACGTACGCAAGTCGAATAGTCTTACGCAAGTGAGTTCTGGTAATCACAGAGATGAGGAGGAGGATTAAAGTGTACGTAGGTGAACTAGTGTTTTATGTACGGTGATAAAAATAAGTACGGAGGTCGAACAGTTTTACGTAAGTGATAGTTCAGTATCCGAGGAGGAGGATTAAAATGTACGTAGGTGGACTAGTGTTTTACGTACGGTGATAAAAATAAGTACGGAGGTCGAACAGTCTTACGTAAGTGATACGAATGCTTAAAATATGTACAAGAACAAAATTGTACCAAGACATTACGTAAGCCATAGTTAACTTTACAAAACTTTTTACGTAATTGAGCAAAAGTGAGTACGTCGAACGATTTTCCGTAAGAAATTATTAACTATTAGTATACGGATTTGGATGGCTGAAATGTACGTAAAGCAAACGTACGCAGACTCTACGTGCTCTTACGTAAATGATGATTAGGATAAAGAAAGGCGATTGTTTCTTCGAATAAGGATAAACTCCTACATGTCTATTCGTTTAGTCATACTGATCAATGCGGTTGCCAAAAAAATAAAAAAAATAACACTATTATGGGATCATTATTTGTGCTGGTGATACAAGTTGAAGGCGTTTGGGTTTGACTTCGGTTGTCTATGATCACGTAGTGGAAATTGCAGCATTCTCTACTGTTGATTCACCTCCATTTCAAAGACAAATTACTAACACTATAATAAAGCGCTTCTAAACTTTAAAAGCAATACAGTAAAGTAGAGGATATCACACGGGCGCGCGGAGATGCAGATTTTATGTTCGAGTGTTGAAAAGATCTTTCACGAGCTAACATAGCGAGAAGATGATATCCGTATCTCCAAGTAATATTCTCTTTATCATACAATTATCCATGAAAGGAAATAATTGTTTATTTATCTGAAATATATGAGTACCAAAGACAAGTTCCCTCATCCGTGGAAATGGAGTGAAGTCTAAAAACCCGTGAAACAGATATTATACACTGCAACTTAGTACCCTCTCATTGCATTGTTATATTTTGTGTCTATTTGACTATCAAACTTTAATAGTCAAATTTTTGTTTACAGGGGTATAACGATCTTACTCTAACAGGCATAATAACAGGAATAATTATCGGATAAGCTGCTTTCACAAAAAAAAATACACACAAGCCAGCTTTAATGATAAAAAGAGGGTACATATACCCACTTCAGCAAAGTAACCAATTATACTGAAAGAAGTGCCGCTTCTCGAACACTGTTTCAATTAACACTAGGACAAGGTGTTGACACGGTCGTACGGATTGGATAAAGTCGGCGATTTGTCGTTCATTGTCGGCTCGAGACGGTGAGGAAACCGTTTTACGTTATTAGTTCGATATGTTTGGTTTAAATCAAATACTCTTAGCGATCCGACAGGAAAAGAGCTCGCGACTAAGTTCAAAGAACCATTATTGTACAAATTCTGGAAAAATCGGTACATGTTCAACTGGGATGTATTTTCAGGTTCCTCGCCACCAGTTTCCAAAGGTGCTTCTCCTATTGTCCTTCAGCAGCATGTCATGTAGATAGACAGACGTCAGATAGATAGAGAACCCTTTCTGTTACAAGATGTTGGATATTTAAGCTCGACCTTATGTATAATCAAACCAACACTGTTCAACGTCGAGTCTAGACTGGTGAGGATTCTGTTTCATATCTCAACCCATTATTGATAAGATTTCGTTAATTTTATTATTATTTTGCATTTAAAAAAGATTGATTAGCTTTATTATGCCAGATAACAAGTCGCATAGTGTATTGTAGAGTCATCAGAGTTTACGGGTACGTTTCAAACAGCGAATCTCACATTGTACAAAAGTCGATGCCAAATGATGATTAATGTGAGAAGAAACAGAAGATTGAGCGAAGTATTTAACGGCGTATGAACGGATTTTAGCTATGAAAAAGTATCTACTTTCGCAGTCTGAACAGTCACATGACCTTGTAAGTATAAATGCCATTGCACTTACGAACTAGCCAACGCCATATTCTTCTTAAATGATTTTTGTTTCCCTAGACATCGTTACAAAGTGGAAGAGCACTTAAAGGGTTGAAAGTTTTAATGGTATGAAGAAAATAACGAAGAAAGCAGTGCTATTTCCATTCAGTATGGCGGCTATGATGTAATGTGCCACCCCAAAACTATGTTCCACATAAATAAAAAATAATATTTAATTTACTAAGTATAAGATTGATAGAGAGTAAATGTCTCCAGAGAATTATGAAGAAGAATCATGACAAATAAAGCAAGAGTATTTGTTATTTTCATCCAAGATGGGGTCCATAACTTAACATGCCACTTCGGTAATACCTTTGAAATAATAACTTACAAAAATGTAAGAAGTACAAAAAATCAAGCTCGTCAAAGATTTATGTCGGAATAAAAAGAACATATAAGATGAGACTTCTTCGATATTTTCATCCAAAATGGCGTCTATGACACAACATGCCACCTCAGTTATGCGCTTTATATAATAGCTTATCAAAATGTACAAAGTACACAAATTCGTCAAAGAGTACATGTCCAATATTTAATGTTGAGTACATAAACCAAAAAATGAAGTCTTTTGATATTTCCATCCAATATGGCGCCTATGAGGTTCATAAATACGTTGTAAATAATAATTAGCATTTAATGTACTATAAAGTACATTAAAAACATTAAAACAGGATATATATTTATTCAAATATTTAATATTGGATCAAAATGGGCAAGAGTTACTTGCATCCAATATGGCGGCCTCCTCAGAGCTTCACGTTGTAAGTAATCCCGACTTAGCATTTAATACAGATTTCACTCAGGAAATAAAAATTCACAGTAACAGAAAAAGAAAAACTCCATGTAACAGTGTCAGTTACTATGAATACCCAGTTACAAAAGGAGTATCCGTCAACCTTTTAATTGCCTATTGTTCTAACCGAACGCCACGACTGAAACTAAGCGATTTACTCGGCTAAGCCTAAGCATCGTGGAGATTTCTACGTGTGTTTTCAATCCGTTGTTCTGTAGTCTCACAGTGGGACTTAAAAAAGAGATTAATAACTGTAAAAGAAAGGCTGGAAGCATCCTTAATGAATCGCAGGTTAACCACTAATACGCACATGGACTTCACAAGTTGAACGTTTAATTGTATATTAGCTTAGCAAGCCTGAGTTGTTGCCAGATATCAACTGCGGGCTTTGATTTGGATATGTCAATTACACCACCAAGAGTTTTAGAGCTGTTTTTTACTGTAATTTGAACGACACCGACAAGAGTTAAGATACAAAATTAAAATACAGTTACAAATTCATTAAAAAACGGGACAGAATTTCAAGTGCACTTTGACGTTTTCGGTGTATATATCAAAAATGAACTTAACAAAGAGTTTTTCAGCTTTGAACTATACTTTGACTCTCGTCCCATACTGGAAAAGCATTAAATTTTAAATTAAAATACAGTTATGAATTAGGGAAGAGTTATAACTGGGAACTGAACCCGATTAAAAAAGCGATTGCTAACAGTAATTACTGCACTCAGTTGAATGAGTTGAACAAGACACTGTCTCTAGCAATCTTCAATGTTTTTAAAGCGGAGCTTTGCATAATTACAGCCATAATGTATGACTCTTGCAAAAGTACTACATCATGTGGAAATAAGGACTACATGGGGACAAAGGCAAAGAGTCCATGTGCTGCTATATTATATAAGAAACCACTAGAATCTTTTAAACTGAATTTTAGATAAATAAACGAACAGATGATCGAATGAGCTCCTTAAGAAGGTTTGGAATCAAATAAGCCTCCCAACTCGTTATTGGAACTCTATAAAACAAACATGCCGGAAAAATTAGATTCATTAATAATCTTATATAGCAACAGACTTTAAAAAGGGAATTCAGTTTCACAATGTTTTAATTCTGATAAACTAATTTGCTACCAATCAGGCACAATACATAATTTTACTTTCAAACTTTCTCAACATTCAGCTTAAAAACGAAGTACTAAAGGCTGCAATGCTGTTTTCGTTATTGCATGAATAACTCTAATTACTTGCCATAATGAAATGACAATATGACTAACTGTCTTTCGACAGAGATAGCCGATGGAATCCCGCGAGAGAGCCGATGGAATCCCGCGAGAGAGCCGAATCGACGAACAGCTGACTAAATTAGCGAACAAACGACAAGCAATATCATCACTCTGTGTCTCTATATACATTATTTGATAACCGACCAAACAGCGAGTCTTAACCGAAAAGCTATATTGTAAAACTGTAAACTTGTCCCTCATTTATCCTGAACTATTTAAAGCCAATTAAGCAAAGCCGACGGATTTCCGCGACAAAATCGATGAACAACCGAACATTTATTGATTAGTTTCCAATGTGAGTTTCCAATGTGAGCAGTCAATGATGCAAGATCGTAGAAAGACCACGTCTTATAGTTCTCTAGATCTAGTCAAAGGTGTGAGGCAATGTTTTCATTAATCCCTCTTCTTTTTTCGCCGCAATTGTTTCTTCTTCCTCCTTTTTTTCGATCTTCTTTTATTTTTGCGACCAGGTCTTCGTTTATCCTTCCTATTCCTCCTTCTTTTCTTCTTTTGTGAGCGCTCATTAGCTCTAACACGCGCCCTGACGTTACGCAATAGTTTGGCAATGTGCTTGCTCAACCCATCCATAAAGGAGGGCCCAACATTGCTAGTCTTAATTATTAGCTTTGAAGGTCTTTCAATAAATTGAACTGATTTTGAGCCAGTTTTTCCCTTGAAAGACGGCCTGACTGTTCCTTTCTTGGACACAGTGATCATCCAGCTTGGTTTAAAAGCAGAATAAAACTCGGAGAAAAAGTTGGTTGCGTACTTTTCGTAGAAAACGCATTTGGACTTGGAAGCCTTGGCTACCTGATGGCATGTAAAAAAAAAGTGTTATATCGTCATTTAAGGAACATTACTAGACAATCATCATCATTATCATCATCATTATGACAATAAAGTGTCACATGATAGTTTTTGATACCATTATTAGGATTACATCATCATCATATCCATGACTACCTGATAACCATGACAACTACCACACACCATTACAATCAGGGCTGGCTGTGAATAGTGAATAGCGATATCCAATGGATAAACCCTTATATAAATGATAAAACCCATATAAAACTTTATCCATACTTTGTACAACCGGTCACAACAATAGCAGCGACTATCATCACCATGACAATTAACACCATAGATAACCTTGACAACTATCGTTATGGCTATCATCACATTCACAAAACCATGGCTACTATATCGCTATGGCTACCATCACATTCACATAACCATGGCTACTATCACTATGACTACCATCACGATCTGATAACCATGGCTAATATCAGTATGGCTACCATCACATTCACATAACCGTCTAACATCACGATCAGATAACCGTAACTACCATCCCCATGGCTACCACCATCCATATTAATATCTCGATTTTTCAGTAGCTTCCTCTTCTTGCTTTCTTTCCGCTTTCCTATTTCTCACTTTTTCACGTACCTCTTATTTGTTTTTGTTTCTTTTTTAAATTTGGTTTCTTTTTTTTCTGTTTATTCACCCTTTTTTCTTTGATTTTATCTGATTTCTCACTTACACTTTTGTAAATCTATCACATTGTATAACAAATTAAGGTCCATCCATCACTATCCATCACCTTATGCCCATTATTCCCTGTTAAATTCAACACGGCGGCACACATTCAATAATAGAGCCTCAGTCTAAAATGATGTCGGATTATAATCCACCCTTTTGACATTTGATAATGACTATATTAAGATACGTAATGAACGTCGTTCAATGACAACCCCTTGTCAAACGGCCTTCTGGCTAAATGAAATCCCTTTTTAGCCCTTGCCGGGTTTTTCTTTCTTCATAAAGGCCGACAAACCAAACCAGTCAGACCCGCACTCTACAAAGACTACAGAGCGTGGGAAGTGTTTACAATTCGTCGTCAAAGTGGACTTTGATTCGCACATTGATATTCACTGTCAAGTGAAATGCGTAAAACATGCTCCCAGGATCGTTCTTGAGTTTCCAGACAAAATATCTCGATTAAGACCTCTCTAGCTTTTTTGCCTCAATGGCGTTGTTAAGTAGAGAAGCCATCAACCACGAAGTACATGTCTGTTTATATTCCTGAACTTGGCGTCAGTGTACACAGTCCTGTACAAATAACAAGGGCATATACTAATGAACAAGGCATATAATACTTTACTGCTATACCTTTCTACCGACGAGACGGCCATCTTTTTTTCTGACGCACAGATAGTACGACGATTCGGCTCCACGGATCTTTACGCGACCAAAGTTGTCTGATTCGATTATTAACTTGGCTGGAGTAAAACGTCAAAAAATTGCAATCAACTTTCATGTCGTATAGTTTATATAAGTACGTCATATTGCCATAAGATTATAAGCTTATCATAGTCAGCTTTATAAAATAAAGAAAACACCAAAAATAGATGTGTTAAAAGGCAACTTTTCTAGAAGATAATAAACAAATCGTGCGATTTGGAAAGAAGGAAGGTGTAAATGCTTTAAGTGTGCTTTAGACAACTTAGCCCTTATGGAATAATAAACATTCGACGTGTCGACTCAATGTTAATCAATCCTTCAAAAAATCGGTTCGACACTGTTGAAGACAATGCTAAAAATACCAAATACACAAAAAAATTAGAAAATACATATATCCATAGCTGCTAAAGATTTTTACTGATTATTTTATGTCCTACATAAGCTGCAAGATTTTTGGACTGCGTCCAGCTATAGAATGCCATGCAACAGTCAGTTAAAACGGTCCCAAAAACGTTCCTATGGGTCCCGTATACTACTAAAGACACGCAATGGACACAGATTAACCGATTAAATACATCCGTTGAGTATTGACTCGGTCAAACGAATTAGTCTTGATTCGGTGATGATTCCATTAAGGAACTTGCTAAAGCAAACAGAGGGACCACATCTCGCAAACACAGCTTAACAGATTAATTCCTATATCTTTCAACTATGCAGCAATTCAATGTTTTCTAGAAACCTTCCGTAATAGCGTGCACGTATTCCTTAGCTTCGACGTCCGATGCTATTCAAATCTTAAGAGCACATAATGGATCATATTTAGCATATTTTACTAAAAAGCCTTTCCTTGTTTAAGCTCTTTTGTTGGGATTATTGACAGACTTAGATCACTACACAAGTGTAAATTTCATATCGCTGCCATTCAATGAAATCATAGAAAATACATTTTTACATTTGGAATGCTTCATATTCTCTTTTCCATTACCACCTACTATGAAATACACCTTTCTATAAAATATTCTAATTGAAAACGGTTAGTAATATTCCCAGCACACTTCAAAATATCGTTACTAGCGAGCTTTGTAATTTCCAATACCTTTGATAGTCACAAAACTCAATCATTTGGAGAAGAATGTTTACGGAATACCCTAGAAGAGACAAGCTTGGCGGAAGCGAAGGTGTGGTAGACGTTTACATACTAGAGACAAATCGCGAACAGTGTGGAAAGAAGGTGCTAGTCTGAATATCAAACAACACCGTGGCCCATTGAAAGACAATCATTTAGCTGAGGATACCAACAATAGAAATGCTTTTTCTTCGAATGTACATCAACTTTAGTGTACAAGGAAAGAATGATTTACTTAAAGAAGAAGGCTATGAAAGGAAAAGAAGAAGAGTCCTTTCAGAAGGCCGCTATAGTTTTGAAACGTGTTACTTTCTAAGCACTCAACACACAAAATTGAAAATAAAATGTTGCAATTATACTAAAATTTCCTTTCCTAGTTTTGTAATAAAACAATCGAAGTTTTTAACTCTCATTATAGAAAAATAGAATAATACTCACCGAATTTGTCGCCATCTTTTCCCAGCGCATCAACGTCTCGTCTCATGATTCTTAAGTGTCCCTGACTTGAGCGTGAGTATAACTGAGTTTCTCGGAGAAATGGCAGACTTTTGGTATCGGTTCGAGTTCGTTCCTTTTCCACATGTTCGTCGAGCGATGGCCTTGCAGACTATTAGCAAAAGGGAAATCGGTGATGTATAATAAGAAGAAACGAGTGCAATTCGGTTCGCCTTACCCAAGGAGTCGCTGTGGACGTTGGTACGTAGCCACGTCTGTTTCAAACACAAAGAACAATCACTTTTGATCAAACGATTGAAATAACATTTTTGAGGATGTCAAAAGCCCTAAGGAGCTGTACTCACACTACGAAGAACAGCAGAGAAAATTTAAATGGGTAGAACAGAGAGACCACCATTATGACTCCAAGACCTTCTGAATCCTCAGTAGAACCACAAGAAATAGAGAAGAGATCTCTTTACGAAAGACAAGCAATAAGTGTCTATATTTCGACACAAGCCGCTAAATATATCACAACAGCACGAAACGGAGTTAAAGCTTCATCCCTTTTGTCTACCGCCGCACGAAACGAGGCTCATTGTGCCGTGTCTGTAAGACGGCATTTTGGCGTAAAAGGGCTACCATACGTGCGAGCCAAGTTGTCGTAATATGCAGATTCACTGGCTAATTAAGGATATATCGGCCAATTACGAGCACTCTGGGAGGGACCGTCTGGGCCATATTGAACAAACAGAACAAGCAAACACAGTCGATAAATCCTGATATCACTCCTCTGGCAGTACATATTGGACTTGTAGCATTCAGTCTTCTAATCAACGCACAGTCGTTGAAACATTCCATGGATGGTAAGACGATTTAGCAGTTTGTATGTGTACAGGGTCTCTATAGTCATCCCATTAGAAGATCAATTGGTGTGGGCGTGAGAGGTCCGGCCATGCACGACAATTAGGCCATCACTTTGTAAACACCACGTCAACAAAACACTTTGATTTGATTCACCATGAAATCGACCTGATTTGATCGTAATCCCTGCTTGTCAGTTGGAAATCCTTATGAATATTTAATGCTATTGTTCTAGCACGACGGCCGAGTGCAAACAGCACGCAATTCTGACTAAGACGTAAATTGCTCACATTTCTTAGCTCTGTTCTTGAATAAAAAAGACTGCAAACATTCTAGAAAGGAATTACAAGCATCCAAAGAGAGTAGAAGTAAAGGATCTAAACATTTCATCAAAGCGGGCTTGTTCTCGATATCGGAAGTCATAATATGAAGATAATTTATAAAACAAAGATTATTGATTAATTAATAAGAATCCGTGATGCGAAGTACACACAAATCGCGCAACTTAATAAAAAACTTCCGCAAGCTCTCACGAATTGGCGAAACTGAACAAAAGCAATTTCCTTTAATAGTGTTTGAATTAAGCAAATCAAACAGTCATAAACGAATATAATTATTCTTTAATCCTTCTTTTCAATTCATTTTGTTCCATCCACTTCCTTTATCTCAATCCAGGAGACATCATAGGTGATCTGATGATCTCTTAATCCTAGCTCTAAAGGTTCTACGTCACCTCCCCAACAGATTCATTATGTCCATGCCACGAATGACGTTTTTCGGTGAGTTAAAAATGTATGGAATGACATGCATCGGTGTCGGTTGATGTCTCAATACCTAGTCAAGGCAGATGTGACCAAATAGTGATGCGTAAAAGTTTAATTACAAAGGTCTTTGAACATAGTCACAGGCGATGTTAATATTTATTTTGTTTTGTAATTTAAGCAATGATTCCGCGCAATGTGCACGGAGAGGATTATGCCGTCGAGATTACTTCTTTTTAAAACTAGTGAAATTACAAGACTCAAGAAAGCTGTGAAACAGACAAATTAGTTTAGTGCAAAATGTTGATAAAAACATACCCTTCTAATGAGCATGCGTATTGCTAAGCAGCTCTTCACAGTTGTACATTCATTTATCCCACATGGTAAAACGCTTGAAGGATGAGGAATGTAAGTCAGTTAAAAATCTAATAAACGTTTATACTTAAGACCTTGGTTATTGTTGATTTGGTCTGGGTTTGGTATGTGCACGATGGAAAGTGATGAATAAAACATCGGTATTTTACTTAACTAGTCAGTAGTCCAATGGACAAACCACTCTTAATTTATGAATTGCCCACTTTTGATTTTTTGAAGAAAATCCTTTTACTTCCCCTGAGCCTCAACTCCACTTCTCTTCATTTGTTCAAAGAGAATATTTTTTATACTAAATTAATTCTAAAATAAATGTAAATATTCTTATTTTTGAATTATGATTATCATTATCATCAGTACTTGCTATCATTTGTACCTTAATCATGTTTAACGCCGTCAACACTTCCTTGTTTTGAATGGGTTCAATTCACACCATATTTGGCTATGTTCTTAACACAGGAGGCCCAGGAGTCCAGATCCTCTTTCCCTTAGGAAATGATGCGATTGCGTGAGAAAGAACCTGCCAAGAAAATTTAATAAATGAATGCGTTTTATACTTGAAAAGATAGTTGACAACCATTATTTATTTGGGAGATTGTTATTCCTGTCCTTACGTAAACGCTCTCTGCTAATTTAAAAAAATCAAAATTGAAATTAAAAGAGGTTGACTCTTCTATCAGAGAAAAGGTCATTTTCTATAAAGTGCCGTCCGCATATACACACACTCATTGTAGGTATAAATATACATTTATCTTATGACAAAAATATGAATATATGAAAACAATATTATATTCTACAAAATGAATAAAGCTCCTTTTATGGAGCTTAAATGTTTTTTTTAATCGTAAGAATAACAGCTGTACATATACATCTATTTAACGAATTATCTACATAACTATAAACTAGCAAAGATCACCCACATTACATAAAACAGGAATATCAAAATGAAACTCATTACAGCGGTTGATAAAACCATCCGTAATGGTGACTTATCTCATTCAACAAGCGACTCCACCCACCAAGGCTAATGACATTCGTTCGACGCCTTTAATTACAACTAAGACTCTACTTTGTTGCGGTTAAGGCCACACAACTAGACTTTACTACTGTAGCTACACCTTAATGGGATTATATCACTTCTCACGAAGTCACAAGCAATTTTAACATCTTAACGCCATTAGACAAGCCGACTCCGTGAAGACCCACGCGTGTGCGTGCGCGGATGTAATTAACTCCACGAATGGTGATCTTTCTCACGAGGATTGATAACATGGATATTAATCGTCAGTAAATCTCCCATCAACACTTGGGAGGTCCTTCTGACGTCATCGATGAAGTACTTATATGAAGGCAATACGAGTGGACAGGGAGTAACTTTTATTGGACTTGGGGATAGCTAACCACAATGGTGGAGATTACAAGGTGTAAAATAGAAGGCCAGCGACCTTGGCTGAAATACTTAGTCTAAGAACAACTACCATCGACGATGCGAGTATTGAGAAATAGCTATTTAGAAGCAGACTTGTATGTTAAGATAGATATAACATCAAGCAACATTCGCATTGAACTCGGCACGTTTGAAATTCGACGTTTAAAACGTGTCTTAAAGTATTAAATAAGAGGATTTTGAATAGTGATTAGTGTTTCTAGACCTGTGGCGCGAGTTACTAGTCAAGGCGTCACCAAAGAGGGCAGACTGTTAAGAAAACTTAATCGGGTTTACATTGACCTTGTATATGACAATGAACTTGGCATAAAAAACAATTACTTGAAATAAAACCAGGATGCTTGAGAATAAGATGGTGTTACTAACATTAGAATTATTATTTATACAATAAGCAGTAAAATGCTCTGAAGTGGGATTGTAATCACAACATCCCAGTAAAATGTCAACGTTCAAAACGGCAAAGAAAACTTTTCAAGAAATTTAATCGATTAAAGACAAAGGAATTCGCAGTCATTTTCAAACTATTTCACAAATCCAGTGGATGCCATCTCCCATAAATCTTTCCCAGACATTAATTCTTCTATTTTTTAATTATTAGTTTTTATATTAATAAATCCCATCCCTTGCTGCCTTCCCTTTTTCCACACTGCATAAGCCCCATTTTTTCCGACTCATTCTTCCACCTGCAATCCAAGTACGACAGTAAAGGTACTGAAAAAAAACCCTCGGTTATCGCTTATTTGTACTGACTCTTTTCTTAAGAGCCCTGATTATGCTTTTGGTTCATAGTCTTTCCTTACAGTACCTACTCCCTCTATTGGGGTAAGTCCAAGAACCCGTGAAATATACATTACACTAATACACCTTAGTACACTCTCATTGCATTGTATTCTTTTTTGTCTATTTTACTATCACATTTTAATAGCCAAGTTTTGTTTCACGGGTTTAATGACTTAACTCTATATCCACTAGTATTTACCGACCCACCATCCACAAGTTAGAGCTCCTATTTTAGGATACCAGTACTCAAGTATGGTCAACCTCAAGCTATAGATAGTCGTGCACGGAAGTGAATAAATAGACTTAGCTCGTTCCTAAAATAAACAACTTAATTTATCGTGCGGTGGCAAAGACAGTCACAAAGAACAAGATTAGCCAAACCACTAATTCTAAAATAGGACCGACTTTTGACGTTAAATTTAGATGAAGTAGGATGAAATTAGAGAGACTTTAATTAGTGCTTAAGTTTGGCTCTTGTAAAAGAAAAGCCAGGACATACACCTGGGATTTTCCATGTGAACCCGCGGAAACATAAACATAATCATAAGAAAATACAAACTTTCCTTATGCTTGCGCTTACGAGAATTACCGTTGTGTGTGACAAGCGGTCAGACCGAAGCCGAAAAAAAACAACAACAAAGAATTAACAAAAACAACAGGCAACAAATTGAGCTATAAACGAGTTATTTAAGGTAAATGACAAGCTTTCGTGCAGCTACAAGGTGCAATAAAGAGTTTTCAAATACGTAGGTCTACACCTAACGGGTTTGTTCATTATATGGCGTTAAATATATAAAGATATTTAAATGCTTTGACTATAAAAATCGTTATCTTAATGGGAAAATTATAGCACAGTATCATAAACCACAAACCAACGATTATATTTAGGAAATAGAGAAACACCTTATGTAAACAATTCAGATTTCATTTGAGGAGTACACTTAATATTGTACGTCAATGGAAACACCCTTACAGATAGAATTCTATTTCTATCGCAGTCTTATCGCTACTAAAACCTGCATGAAAAAAATGATATATTATCAAGAAAATGTATTGGAATGTATCAAAATTGGTCTGTTTTAGTCGATCTATATCTCACGATGAGAAGTTCCATTAAATTCGGTTTTATTGAGAGAGGGGGATGGGTGGGTGACTAGTTTGGACATTTTAAGCACCACAAATTTCACAGTACATTCCCTAAGAATTATTTCTTGTGACTAAAAAAATCATCATTATCTGATGAATAAAAGCACCGAAATAAAATATAGTAAAAGAAAAGTAGTATAGTACAACGAAGAAGATTTTTGTCTTTCGATTGGTAGAGGGATATCGATGACATACGAATTCACTATCTCAAACCAGAGTTTGAAAGGCTGCTTGGACAGACGTCGTTTTCGCAGGCAGCCCATCCCTTCGGCCAATCTCATGACTGTAGGAAAGACATGATTTTGATGATGACTACAGTATATTACTTATCAGAAAATGGGATTGTTAATTTGTTGTTATTTTAGTGTTATCGTGATATTCAGACTGAGTGCATTTTCCGTATGATAAATGTTATCGTTTCACACCCATCCAGCATCTTGCATTCAAATATATCGGGACAACTATATGTCATGGGAAAGAAATGATATACCGAGTATGGAATCGAGTTAGAGTTGGAGGGGAGAGGGAGCTCGAGTTAGCAGGATGGTAATAAAAGTATCCTTTATAAATATGGCTAGCCAGTATAATGGAT